TACTGCTGTTTGTTTCCACCGCGGTGAGTACTGGGAATTTGTTGAATGAGTTTGTGATTCTGAATGTGCCTTACTTGACATACGATGTAACCCCGTACCCTGGGATAAGGCTGTAGGATTTAGCATACCTGTACACACCTCTCAGAAGGCAACAGATGGGCCTGGTCACCTTTGACAGGTAAGGTTGGTCAGATGTGGAAAGTATGGACACTTGTAAGTGAATATTCTGTGGACATATATCTTCATAAGCTCATATTAGAGATCAAAATATTTTTAAAGAAAGAGTGCAAGCTTATGAAAAGACAGCTTGTGCCTTCTTTTTCCAAATATTTTATATCTAGTGTTGAAATTTTCATACCTTTATTCAAAATTATATACATGGTTGATCTGGAATGAATGTTTGGTCAGCTATAGATCAGCTTCAATGTTTGTGGCATAAAATCTGCTTCGCATCCAACCGATTTCTGAATCAAATGTTAGTCTTCCTCAGTCATTTGTCAGCTTCCCTGTTTCCTGGGTCAGAGGTCAGTTATTAGCCTCTCTGTTTCCTGGGTCAGAGGTCAGTTGTCAGCCTCTCTATTTCCTGGGTCAGAGGTCAGTTGTCAGCCTCTCTGTTTCCCCGGGTGAGAGGTTAACTTCGTGTATTGTTGAATAACAGGTCATTGTCTCTTTTCTTCCTAAATTGAAACTTGAATCAGAAGTCAGCACCACTACTTGGAAGATATTCTTAGGTCAGAGGTCACTCTCAGTTTTTTTTTTTTTTGGAGGTCATTCTATTTTCTTGGTCAGAGTTCAGTGTCCCTGTTTCTTGGGTTATAGGTCAGCATCCCTGTTTTCTTGGGTCAGAGGTCAGCCTCCCTAGTGTGTTTATGTGGTGATAGGTTTTGAGATAAGATAGACTTATCTGTTGTGTTTGGCCTCAGTGGTAGAGGTGCTGGCCATCTTCACATGGTATTTCCTGTCCCAATAGCACGTATCTGTAGGACTTGTATTTGTTATCGCCTCATTGTATTACAAACATACTTCATGTTTTGATATTGTAAAAATCTTATCTTCAAACTGAGGATGAATATTTTATTCAATTTCAGATGCAGATTAGTCAATATATTTTCATTTCCCCACTCTGTTCATTTCACTTTGGTTAAATTGTAGGACCTTTTACCATTAACAATAAGTCCTATTTATTTAGCAGTAGCAGTAGTAGTTTAGAAAAATGTTCAGGTCTTATTATTAACTATTCTATTATTGAAATGGCCATACCCGAGCAGGGTAATGTATTATTTTAACCTGTGATCCCAGAGGATCAGTGGATATATTTCCACAGATTTGTATACCAAGAATTATATATTATACTGTGCATCAGTTACATTTGAAATGAATTAGAGGTATATGTGAAGCTAGAGGACACTGACTTTAACCTTAGATTTTAGGGGCCTATAATATAGACTCGTCTGACTGGGAGCAGTCAGGTGGTTGGTGGGAAGGAAAACTCCACCAACTTTCTGATTTAAATGTCATCTTACAAACTTTTTACATTACCTGGCAATTTTGATGTTGTCAGCATGTTAAGTGCTGTGCAGGTCTTTCACAACCCCAGTACTTGAGATTTTAAGCCTGTATTTCTACGCAATATCATGCTTTCTATGTAAGAAACTGTGTAAAGTTTTCTAAAGAAAGAAGAAGCAGTGTGATTTCTGTACAAAACTTGTTTCTAGTCTACAAACCACAGACCTGTTTATCAATGTGTTGCTATAAAGTATGGGGATGTTGAGATATTTTTCACCTCGAGCTTCAATACTTTAAACATATATATATATATGTTGATAGGTATACTTAATTAAGATTATCCCACATTTAACCATAACCCTAGCGATGATTATAAAGTTGTATGTTTAACTGATAATGTTTATCATTAGGTCCATCCTTAGATATTACATTTTATGATGGTTACTGCTAGAGATAAGCACTTCCTGTATATATACCTGTGTACAGTCACCTCCTTTAACAAGCCTGGTGCACATTGTATCAGCTCTTTATAAAATTGATACCTCTGTCACAGGGTTTACTACAGGTACTGTAGGATCAGTTGGTGTGCTTGGCCAACATGTCAGTAAAACTGATGACTTGCCTGTCATCTCTAAAGACCTGACAATTTTACTGATGTATTACTATAGCTAAAGCAGACATATTACCAACAATTTATGTTATAGATATTATTTACAATACATGTCGGATGTTTTGATTACAACACATGCTCATGATGTACATGTATATCCCAACAAATTTGAGTTACTTAAGTTACAGGTGGGTTTTTTTCTCTCTGAAAATATAAGGCACATGTATATCAGTTAGAGGCATGTGATAAGTAAACAGTGAAATGTGAGGCTGCGGCTGTTTGACACGACCAGATGAGAGTATATCAGTGAGACTGTACTTGGGGTACATACATACTTCCGGGACCACCCAGGCATGTTAAGGTTTACTTCATACTGTACCTCAGATTCTAATTTGAATGTAAATTAAAAACAAATCTCATCAATTTAGGAGTTGGTGTAGATCAGTGATAGGATGGGTTCCTGCTGTTTGTATTTTTTTTTTTGTCAACTATATACTGTATCTCAATCATCCTAGTCTACCCAGCTGTAGAAATAGGTACTGGCATGATGGAAGGATTGTTAGTGAGGGTGTTTAACAAGCTAGAAAAAGAGCAGAATAGTACATCCCATGTGTAAGTGGAACTTTACCACAGCATATTTTAAGATTTTCATTTATTTTTATCATAGTTGTTTCTTCTCTGGTGCTGAAAGAGTACTTATGAATAATCCAAAGAAAATTAGATTTGTTATAATGAACCAGATAAGATCAGATTAAAATGCTCGGGGGGGGGGGGGGGGGGGGGGGGGGGGAAACAATGTACTTTTAAAAACTGGCAATATACAAAAAATAATAATAAATTCAGAGTCTCATGTTTTTTTCTTTGAAATTTGTATTATATATTAGAATGTTATAAATAGTTATTAATTATTAAAAATCTTATTATATCAAATGATTTTGAGCCATACAGACAGTTTGTACTCTACAGAGAAGGAATTCAAAAAGTATCTCTTTACAATCACATTAGATTCCAGAATTCAAAATAAGTAAGGGAGAAATCTTCCCGACAGCAAGTCAGTATAGATGATAACAGTATACCTTCCTAGATAGATGATGATGTTTCAGCAAAAATATGAAAGAAGAGAATCTCTGGTTATCTGTGGAGTGTCTGTATTGGTTTTTGTGACTTTAGTTTTAAGTTTTGAGGATTGTGGGTATTTTTACTTCTGATATCTTCATTGGTATTTGTGACTGATGTTATGAGGGCCTGGGGAGTGCAGATGATTTCACTTAAACTAGATATATCACAACTTTACTTTTTGTCGCAGACACATATTTCTAAATATACAATTTACATAAGATACCTGCTACCATTTCAGGATTTTATTCAAAGGTACAGATAGGATGATGTTAGGGGCATTGAGAGTATCAGTATTTGTATGGTTTGAGAAGAATTGGGAGTTTGTGTGATGTTAGGGGGTTTGCTTGTTTTTGTGTTTGGAGGATGTGAGAGGGATTGGGAGTATCAGTATTTGTGTGGTGTGAGAGGGTTAGTATTGGTGTTTCGGTGAAGTGAGAGAGTTTGCGAGTATGTGAGAGGAATTATTAGTATTGGTGTTTCGGTGGTGTGAGAGGGTTTGCGAGTAAGTATTTGTGTGGTGTGATAGGGTTTGCGAGTATGTGAGAGGGATAGTTAGTAATGGTGTTTCGGTGGTGTGAGAGGGTTTGCAAGTATGTGAGAGGGATTGTTAATATGGGTGTTTCGGTGGTGTGAGAGGGTTTGCGAGTATGTGAGAGGGTTTGTTAGTATTGGTGTTTCGGTGGTGTGAGAGGGTTTGCGAGTATGTGAGAGGGTTTGTTAGTATTGGTGTTTCGGTGGTGTGACAGGGTTTGCGAGTATGTGAGAGGGATTGTTAATATTGGTGTTTTGGTGGTGTGAGAGGGTTTGCGAATATGTGATAGGGATTGTTAGTATTGGTGTTTCGATGGTGTGAGAGGGTTTGCGAGTATGTGAGAGGGATTGTTAATATTGGTGTTTTGGTATTGTGAGATGGTTTGTGAGTATGTGAGAGGGATTGTTAGTATTGGTGTTTTGGTAGTGTGAGATGGTTTGTGAGTATGTGAGAGGGATTGTTAGTATTGGTGTTTTGGTAGTGTGAGATGGTTTGTGAGTATGTGAGAGGGATTGTTAGTATTGGTGTTTAGGTGATGTGGGAGGGTTTGCTAGTATTGATGTTTTGGAGTTACAATACTATCTTTGATAACATTCCGACATGGGTGGAGAACTGATATAGAACCAACAGAGCTCATTATGTAGTAGCCACTTTTATCTGGCCTTATCTATTTCCTCAAGCACTCACTTAGAGTAAGTGATAATGTTTCTCTATTAATAAACCATCGAGATAAAAAAGATATGCAAATTTTAGACAGCAGAATACACATTATTAGTAGGACTGTAAAATATGAAGAAATCCAAGGTACCTTATAAAACCTGAGTAAAAAATGACTTCAAGTCCAAGGTTTGAAAGATTTAAAGTCTCACCAGTAAGTTTGTAAGGAAATAAAGAATATTTTTATGAGCTATAAATCTATAAATCCTAAGTAACCCTGGAATTTATCAGTCCCCTGGAGACACCAGGAATTAGCTCTAAACTTTTACTACAAAGCTAAAGGAGTAAAAGTAATTAGTTCTCTATAGGAAAATATCATTATTAGTACTAAGTATACAGTGTAAGTTGACAGTACGATTTCTTGGGACACATATCGTCCTCAGCAATATCTCCAGCAAGTGATTTGTTGGGGACACACATTACTATCCTGATATCTTCAGAATCTGTAGATGATAATGACTAGTATTGACCTCTAGGTATTCTCTACATGGTGTATTTTCTTTTTGTATTTGACAGAATCTTCAGGGATCCATTCAGTTGCCACGATCACTCCTAAACAGCAGTGGAGAGCTGGACAGTGATACACTCCACCTCCAGTTTATACTGTACAAGGAGACAAAACTCTTCCCCATTACTACACCATTCCATGATGATCCTGCTATTGGGAACCATTCCCGAATAGCCATTGTCTCCAGTGTACTCTCTGCTAATGTCTGTAAGTCTATCGCAGGTGTATCAATAAGATTTACCTGTTACTTTCAATGTAATTTACCTGGATATTTACCTGTAGCTTCCAGTAAGATTTACCTGTAGCTTCCAGTAATATTTACCTGTAGCTTCCTGTAAGATTTACCTGTAGTTTCCAATAATATTTACCAAAAGCTTCCATTAATATTTACCCCTAGCTTCCAGTAATATTTACCTGTAGCTTCACGTAATATTTACCTGTAGTTTCCAATAATATTAACCAATAGCTTCCATTAATATTTACCTGTAGCTTCCAGTAATATTTACCTGTATCTTCACGTAATATTTACCTGTAGTTTCCAATAATATTAACCAATAGCTTCCATTAATATTTACCTGTAGCTTCCAGTAATATTTACCTGTATCTTCACGTAATATTTACCTGTAGTTTCCAATAATATTAACCAATAGCTTCCATTAATATTTACCTGTAGCTTCCAGTAATATTTACCTGTATCTTCACGTAATATTTACCTGTATCTTCACGTAATATTTACCTGTATCTTCACGTAATATTTACCTGTAGTTTCCAATAATATTAACCAATATCTTCCAGTAATATTTACCTGTAGCTTCCAGTAATATTTACCTGTAACTTCCAGTTAGATTAACCTCTAGCTTCCAGTAAGATTTACCTGTAGCTTCCAATAAGACTTACATGTAGCTTCTAGTGATATTTACCTGTAGCTTCAGGTAAGATTCTTGTAACTTTTTTATATTATTTAGCTGTTGCACAATTAATAACTTCAGATTACAGAACATCATTTTTGATATTGGTCTTCCAAGCAACAATAATTTGTATTTGTTGGAATTTGAATTTTTAATTACCTCTTCTACCTTAGTTTGCATATTAAGAAGGAGATAGTTATCATATGTGATACTGTGATATGATATACAGAACTGAAATAATTTTGTTTAACTTTACAGCTACCCCTATCAAGAACCTGACAGAACCAATTGTCCTCTACTTCAAAACACAGCGGCCATCTAAGAATCTAGTGGCAGCTTACTGGGACTTTGAGGCCAATGGTTAGTATGGACCCATTTGTAGTCTGGTAGTGTCCTAATGGGGCTTTGATGTCAATGGTTAGTATACACACATTTGTAGTCTGGTGGGGCCCTAATGGGACTTTGAGGTCAATGGTCAGTATAGACCCATTTGTAGTCTGGTAGTGCCCTAATGGGACCTTGATGTCAATGGTTAGTATGGACCCATTTGTAGTCTGGTAGTGTCCTAATGGGACTTTGATGTCAATGGTTAGTATACACACATTTGTAGTCTGGTGGGGCCCTAATGGGACTTTGAGGCCAATGGTCAGTATAGACCCATTTGTAGTCTGGTAGTGTCCTAATGGGACTTTGAGGCCAATGGTTAGTATGGACCCATTTGTAGTCTGGTAGTGTCCTAATGGGACTTTGAGGCCAATGGTTAGTATGGACCCATTTGTAGTCTGGTAGTGTCCTAATGGGACTTTGAGGCCAATGGTTAGTATGGACCCATTTGTAGTCTGGTAGTGTCCTAATGGGACTTTGATGTCAATGGTTAGTATACACACATTTGTAGTCTGGTGGGGCCCTAATGGGACTTTGAGGTCAATGGTCAGTATAGACCCATTTGTAGTCTGGTAGTGCCCTAATGGGACCTTGATGTCAATGGTTAGTATACACACATTTGTAGTCTGGTGGGGCCCTAATGGGACCTTGATGTCAATCGTTAGTATACACACATTTGTAGTCTGGTGGTGATATACTGGGACATTGAAGCCAATGTTTCCTGTAATTAAGGATAAGCCTGAAATCTGATATGTCTTTTACATTTGCTGGTCTTAGGTAATAATTGTATTATATTGTTGTAGGTGGCTATGGCGACTGGAGGACAGACGGCTGTCAGATCATTCCGGACCCAAATGTGACTGTCGTTCACTGCTTCCATCTCTCCATCTTCACCATCCTGGAGGTAAGTTATAAAGTTAATACACAGTACTCATGAAGTTATTGTAATAGTCCAGGATTCTGGGTTATAGGTCTTGGCCACAGATAGATTGTCATTTACTAGTGTTGATGAGAATGAAATGTGTTAACAGTGAATGTAATGATAATCACTTCCTAAAAATATATTTCTGATGCGAGGATTAGTGACAGGATCACCTGATCAGTAACTACAGCATAAATGTCGTAGACTGACATATAATGGTCATTAGCGTCTTATAAAGCTGTGGTTATATTGCTAATTATATAGATATTAATGATATGGATAACGTAATGTTAGAATAGATCAGTGTTATTGCCATAATGTGTTATTCTGTAGAAAATTGATTTTATAAAAAAAAAAAAGTGAATTTGTCAGAACATTTAGCAGAGTAAAATTGGATGTAACAATACATTTGCTGTCTGGCTACCTATGTGAGGTTGTTTGCTGTGTGCCAACCTATATGAGGAAATATTTTTGTGTCACCAGGTGAATAGCTCTAGTGAGTTAGACAGGGGGATGATGTCGGGGACTTTACACCTGCTACCCTACCCTGTCTATGTAGGCAGCTGTATCTGTCTCATCTGTCTCATGGCTGTCATCATCACCTATGTCTCCTGCTTCAGGTAAGATATGTTTCATGGTTGTCATTGTTGCCAATGTCTCCTGCTTCAGGTGAGTTATCTGTCTCATTGTTATAGTCATCACCTGCACCTCCCGCGTCAGGTAAGGTTTACGTCTCATGGTTGTCATCATCATCTATGTTTCCTGCTTCAGGTAAGCTAATTAATTGTTTCAACAGGATTGTTTAGTAGTAAACAAACACATTTACTCTACTGGGCTTTTTTTTTTCACAGGCATATGTATGATACCCCAACTTTATAGGATGTATTGTAATATTTTCCTTCCATCAATGCCTTCATCTGTAGCAAAAACCTTTGTGTATAAAATATCTCCCGACTCCTTCAACAATGGTTTAGCTTGTATTAACACACATTATTGTAACCTGTTATACCACATCTATGATCATCTATTAAAATTAGAGGGTCAGAGGTCAAACTTAAAGCTTTTTGAAATAATGTCAGGTTCCCTGAAGTCCTCAGTAACTCTAGATCTGTTGTAATTCATTGTTGTGTGGTTGTGTATCAACTCTATCCATAATTGTCTCTGTTTGATTCTGTAGGTTTATCAACGTGCCTAAAAAGCTGAAACACTCTGTGATCAACATCTGTATCAGTATTCTGTTACTACTGATCGGCTTTACCATGGGAGTGAAACGTACAGATCACCACCTCGCCTGTCAGATTGTGGGCGTCGGCATCCACTACCTCACCCTGGTCGCCATGTTCTGGATCACAGTCACTTCATAGTAAGATATTAGACATGGCTACCTGGCTGAAATACCAGTAGTGTTAAGCCAACTGCAGTAGAGAGGGGAAATCTCTCAATTCCATTGTACTACTTATAATTAAATCAAATGAACAAGACATTCCTATAAATCCTTGTATTTCTTTCTTTTTTATTTTTCATTCTTTATATTATTTTGATTAAAGCCACTTATATCAACTACAATATTCCAAGGTCCTGGAATTGATGCTGTTGGTGTAAAATTTATCTTTCATGAAAATTGAGTGGTGAACAAGATACAAAGGTTTTAAATATAAACTACATGATGTGATAGGGGAGGTAATCCAATTGCATTTATTTTCACTAAAATTAAGTGAAAACAGTATTTATTGTAGAAAAGATAAGGGGTTCAATCTTTTTACAATAAATTCATTATAAATCTTTAATGGATGTAAACTAAAGGTGCTGTTCTGATAGAAGTGTAGTTAAAACTCATGAGTTAGCTTGAAATATTTGCTGGATATTTGTTAGAATGAGTGCAGCTACAAACAAAACAGGATACAATTGAACCTTGTTCATTGTGACATTTCTCTGAAGTCAATTCTCTGATGAATGACACCAGAGTTGTGCCAATGTGCTCAATTGATTTGTATTCTGCCTAAACAAAACTTCATCTTTTTTTTGTTTTTGTTTTGCAGCAATATGCTTAAAAAGTTCAATAAAGTAAACAAGCCACCGGCCCCACCCCCAGAACCAGTAGCCATGCCTTTACCCCCAAAACCAATGTTACGCTTCTACCTTTTGGCCTGGGGAGTGCCACTCATTGTGTGCGGCATCACTGTGGCTGTCAGCATTGACCATTACTCAGAGCCTGATTAGTAAGTATACACATACAATAAAATCAACAGATATTCCCTGTAGTTTTTCATATTTTATCGGTTTTATTATTTGTTCTACCAGATGATATTTCCTACAACATATTTAAAAGTATCCAAAGTTACATTTAAGAAAGTCTTATGCTGTGAAAATAGAATGTACATGTATTTACTATAGAAGAAAAAAAGGAGAAAGAAAAAAATGTAATGCTTCATTCAATGTTTTGTATCTTTGTCCAAAAATTGACATTGATAAATGGTATGTTATCTGCCTTCCACAGCTGTTTCCTGTCCTGGGATCCAAGTATTGGAGCATTTTACAGTCCGACAGGATTACTGGTGGTATTCAACTTAATATTTTTCCTGAGAATTTCCCGAGTGATTCACAAGACGACCAATAACCTGAATGAGACAGACAATACAGAAGAGGTGAATGACATCGAACTAACACAAAGTCCTGATGATGGTACCACAGAGATACAGGCACTCACCAGCACACGACGACCACCAGAGGAGGACACGGAATCAATTGCATCAAGTGTCATGGATATGGAGCGTCAACCAATAACACAACTCTACGCTGTGGTAGCCATGTTGTTCCTGTACATATTATTTTACACATGTGCAGGATTTGCTGTTGCGCAACCTTTCAAGAGTATAATCCCCCATCAGGAGCTTATATTTAGTTATTTGTATGGACTTACAAGCAGTGCATTTGGAATATTTATGTTGGTGTATTTCTGTCTGACAAGGAAGGATTCATGTTCTAGTTGGAGGCGATTTTTCTTCTGTGATCAAAATCCTGTGTATGATGTAAATTATCAAGGAAGTAATCATGTTGCTCTGTCAAATGGTCATGTGGTTCATGCCAACAATGATGTAGACATGGAGAACAAGAACTACAACATAACACAGGAGGTGACAGACGGACCTGTGAAACAATCCAATATCAATCTAATCCCTGCCCCGCCATTTCTCAGTGATAGGGAGAGCTCTGTAACAGGGCCCCCAGACCCTAACAATGTGCCAAGTTTCTATAATCCTAAACAAAATGGCATTGCAAAGAAATTTTGGGATAGACAACGTCATCATTCAAAGCTTATAACAAAAGAAATGACTAAGGATTTAAATGGTAGTGGTACTGATTACTTCTCTGGCTCGGAGGCCAATCACCGTGGAAATACCAGTGACATCAACACACTTATGAGTATAGAGATACAAATTCAGCCTAATGGGATTAATGGCAGATCAAACGGAGTGTCTCCTCCGGCTTCATCACTGCCATTGTCTCAGCAGAATCTCTATCCTACTCAGCTTCTACTGCCAGCCATAAAGGGCTCCAGTGGACTTATACCAAAGTTCTCCATGTTGCCGCTGGACCGTAATATAATCCCGCCTGTCGGTGGGTCTGTGTCACCAATCACAGTAACTACAAGTCCATGCTGTAGCACAGTATCTTATACGGGATCACAGGTTGCCCCTGCCCATGGGAGATCACCCAGTGCCTGCTCTCTGGGTATGCGGCCATACCCCAGTGCTTTTACTCCTGTAGCCCCTCGTAACAACACTCTACCAAAGCAGGGCAAAAATCCCACACCTCAGAATAACGCTACTTCTACTAGTCCTACACAGGATTATATGATGCGGAATGGCTCTGTGCCTCGTCTCAGAGACTTTGATGGTCAAAGTCAGATAAGTGATGTATGCCCTCGTGAAAAACAATGGGGCATGCAAGTGACAAATAATTACTTGAATAATAATCATAATAATAATCAGGCTGCGCCAGGGTATGACCCATTGTCACGCATCAGTCCACAACAACAACAAGTGGGCTGTACATATAAACAGTATGGCTCAGTGGATGAACATATAACATCGGAGCGCCCTCCTCCGGCCTACCATTTCTCTCGTGCGAGGTCGTCCTCAGGAGGGTATAGTTCTGATACAAGTGGAAGGATCCAACGTAAACATGAACAATCGTTCCTTCAGGAAGTTCATCAGAGGATCCCTAGTGATAATAATAAAAAGGCAGTGCAGGATCTAAATCATACACAGTCCCCCCCACCACTGCCTCCCCATAACAAATCCCCTGTGACTTCTGACTTGTGTAATAATACCAAAGTCTTCACCACACATGATTCTGATAGTCAGATACATGTCCGCAGGAGTCGTGGCAATGACTCTGATCACAACTCAGAACCAACATCTCAAGCATCTCATCGAAGACGACATCGGTCACATGACCCACAACATCGTCATTCAAAACATCATAAACAAAGTGCCAAAAAGCAGCATTCTTCGTCTGCTGAGTGGGAGGGTACACCTCGTCCTAAAATGATACCATATGCTTATGTCAATTACCACTATCATGACAGGGTTCGGCAAAAGCTCCAACGGAAACATGGGGCATTTCCTCAACTAATGGAGGATTCTAGCTCCAGCAGTGACAGTGAGGGACTTGACGATATTTGGGTGATGCAGGACAAAAACAAAAACAAGAAAGAGACCAGTGTGTAGCCAGGAGGGCTCCCCAGCATTATTTATTTCAGCAATTAGTTGTGTAAATTTGATGTCATCTCATTTTATGTTAGTTGCCAAAGTCTTCATTTTTTTTTGAAAGAGATGAACAAAAATGTTTGTATTTATTACACATAATACATATTTTTAATATGATTGTATGACATGATTTTAAAGACAGAACTTTGATTTTATAGATTGTGTATTCATTTTTTTGACCATGTGTAGTTGAGTGAGAAACTTTGACTGAAGTATCAATGCTAACAGAAATTCTATTAAATTAGCAATCATACTTCTGTCAAATTCTGAGTGCATTGATTTTCCAGAACTTGGTAATTACATTTTTCTTATTAAGAGTTTTTGTGTGTTTGTGTCCATAAGTCTGTGTACCTGTGTCCATAGGGTCCATGTATCAATGAGTCTGTGAGTCTGCTTTGAGTAACTGTGTCTATAAAGTCTGTGTGTCCTTGGGTCTGTGAGTCTGCTTTGAGTAAATGTGTCTATAAAGTCTTTGTCCTTGAGTCTGTGAGTCTGCTTTGAGTAACTGTGTCTATAAAGTCTGTGTCCTTGAGTCTGTGAGTCTGCTTTGAGTAACTGTGTCTATGAAGTCCATGTGTCAATGAGCCTGTTTGTCTGCTTTGAGTAACTGTGTCTATAAAGTCCATGTGTCCTTGAGTCTGTGGGTCTGGCTTCGAATACCTGTGTCCACAAAAAGTCCACGTGTCAGTGAGTTTGTAAGTATTTGTGTGTGTCTGTGTATCGGATTGGCTGTCTGTGCAAAAATATCTTTTGAGCAAGCATGATAACACGGGCAAATTGAAGACCTAGCTGGCTATATTTTACCATTTTGTACAAGTTTTTTCTTCTCTACCTCAGCTAATTCTAGTTACAATGTGTTCTGTTGCTGCTACAGAAGGATGTTTGGACTGAATCTTCAGACAGTCTGACTTAAATATCAAATCTACATGTGTTTATGATTTTAGATATTTTTGTTCACTGTATTATGGATAGTTTTTTGGAAACTGTTTCTTTCTAAATGTATATGAAATCATGTGAAAAGCAAAATAAACTGCCAAGTGACACAGAAGATTTTATATATACCAGTATATATATTCTGACCGACTTTGTCAAATTAGGTTAAAAAAAAATACAAAATGTAAATATAATCTTTAACAGCATTACAATTTCTGTTTGCTAAGTGACATTCTTCACACCATTAACAGTTCTAGTGTTCATATTTCCTGCAGTTCTTTTTTTGTTCTGTTTTTTTTTGTTATAAATCTGTTGCTCTTCTACAGACTTTTGAAGAAACAAAACTTTGTTAGTGTGACCCTCTGAAAATTGCATTTTACATTTAAAATTATGACTTAACAAAGTTCAAATTAGTGGAGTACAAAAAGTTTATGAATGAAGGAAAGTCTTTTCATACAGTATCAAACATTTAGCATTATTAAGACATATTTAAAACCTAATTCTTTTACTCTCATGCTTAGAAGGAGGATAGGCAATTATTTGTTGTAGCATCAAATCCATAACTGTATGTATCATTTGTTAACGATGTTCAAAAGACATGTTTAAAAAATAAGAGAAAAACTCTCAAAAAAAAACAAAAAACAAAAGAATTGAAGGTTCATCAAGGTAAAAACCTGCTATTTTTCATCACCACTTCAAGAAGAATTTGGGGAGACTCTGTCACCTAGTTACACCTTTTTCATGGGTTAGTGCCCCAGGTTTTATCGTATATAAAACCTGGTACTTTTCATGGGTTATTGCCCCTGGTTTTATCATATATTAAACCTGGTACTTTTCACGAGTTAGTGCCCCAGGTTTTATCATATATAAAACCTGGTACTTTTCATGAGTTAGTGCCCCTGGTTTTATCATATGTCTAACCTGGTACTTTTCATGAGTTAGTGCCCCTGGTTTTATATATAAAACCTGGTACTAGAACCTAGATAAAAGCAGACAGTGTATAGTTGGGAATGTTTACCTGGTCACAGACAATGTAAAGTTAGGAGTGTTTACCTGGTCAGTGGTGCTGATATCGGCTTTATCTCAGTGCACGATATAGATATTCCGTTGTGAAAGTGTTGGTGCTAAGATCTTTCAAAAGCTTTAAATGTTTTATCATCTATAACAATACATGTTTTATTTCTTGTAAAACATATTTTACATTAGACAACTGGTCATACATTACCTGTTTTTACTGATGGATTTTAAGTACTTTTTAGTCCGTTCAGTCTTTGATTTTTCATGGTTTTCCATTTTTCAGTCTAAATTGTTTTGTTTTTAATGCATTGTCACACAATGTAAGCATTAGTGTTTTAAACATTTCTAATAATGATGTTAAATTTACTACAAATACTTCAACCTGTAATCATTGTCTACAAATGTTTCCTATTAAACCAAAACAGTTTTGTGATTATGTGGTGCTTATGGTTTGCTAAAAAAAGTGCTTTATTTCATCTAAGTTGATATTACACAGTATTCATTTCATGTATTAGCAGAATTTGTTAAAGGGATACAGAAATTACCAGAGAGAATAGTACTTAACTTGTAACATAAGCATTTAAACTGCACAGCTTTAAATCTAACTGTAAGCATTACTTTATGTATTATAATAAACATGGTACTTTTCTCAAATTTGTGTAAGCAATTGAGTTGAAAGTTTTTTTCAAAGTTTGAACATTGTCTTCTTGCATCATCATGTTGCAGTTTTTGGATATGACCAAGTGTAAGGCCATTGATAAAATATCCCCTGGGGTTGGTCGATTCATCCTTGGATGGCTTAGGTCAATACTTAAGGATGGTTTTTCATTTTATAGATAGTAAAAAACAGCAGTGTGAAATTTACTTTCTGTATGGCCCAGGTCAAAATCATAGCATTTGTTTGTTTAACTGGTGTTTTATGTAAAGCTTAAGGTGATTGCAATTTTTGTTATTTCATCGATAAGGGTAAGATCTACAATCAACTTTGTTCAGAATTATCTAATGTATTTTTTTTTATTTTAATATTTTCCCATCATTTATGATAATTCAAATGGCTGTAGTTGTTGTCAGAAAAAACATGATGAAAAATTAAAAGGTTTGAAAAGAAATGGCACTACATCTTCGATATTTATTGAATGTTGGATTTTCTTTGTTTTTTAACTGTCAGTCAGTGATAAGGAGAGGTATGGGTGTCTAGAGAATTTTTATAAAATTTTGTCAATATTTTCATTTGGCAAGGTTTTAGCTGATCATTTTACAAAGTACAGATGGGAAAGTTTGAAGATTTTAAGTCAATTTACATGAAAATTTAATTTCTTCTATTATATTAAATGATTCAGCAACAGTATGATAATCATGCCAGTTAGTAGGTCAGTAAGAGATAATACACTGAGTCAGGATTATTTCAGAATTAAATAGACACAGAAAAGCTTTAATCACAGAAAAACGTGTGCTTGTCAAGTGAAAATGAAGTTTTTATGTAAGTGATGTATGTGAACGATGTGTAAGATATCTGGTAGGTGTACCAGGAACATCACAGCTGTATATACTTGTACAGTGTATTTCTTTATATCATGTAAGTGAAATGCAATAAGGCCATTATTGAAAAACTGTTTGTGTGTAGACTTAAGACCAGTAGTGACCAACATTCTTTATCATCATAATGTTTGATCTACTTCTGTTTTACTCTGCGTAATCAATGTTTTGAGAACGTTTTAATAAATAAAGGCTTTCAATGTTTGCTGTTTAAAGTTGTTTAAGAAATTTCAGATACAAGTATTTAATAAGTTGCTGCTAATCTGATGCATTTATATTGTCCTTATACAAGATGTTTGGACAAAGAGATCTAGTGTTTTGATTGGTTTACACCTTTAATACTCCTCCTAAAATATATTTGATATTCCAGGGGCAGGATATATTTTGAATGTCTTTTCCTCTACACCAAACAATTAGTCAGCGATGGCCTTGTTACAAGTATGTAATCCATTGTAGGTGATAGGGTAATGGACATTTGTAACCAACATCCAACAATTTTCTGGTGTTGGCCTCAATATAAGTGTGACGTTTGTGACCAACATCCAACAATTTTCTGGTGTTGGCCTCAATATAAGTGTGTAATAGGTTGAGGCCAGAATCAAGCAAAAAGTTGAGGTTGGCATCAGTATAATCATGTGAAAATTCAAGGCCAACATCCAACAATTATGTGGTCCTTGTTTGCTTCAAGTGTGTGATATTTGAGGCCAACACCAAACAATTTGTTTGTGTTGGCTTTGGAGTAAACTGCCAGGAGAACAATACGATTGTGTGAAATGACCTCGGTACAGGTCATTGTGTTGTAAAATACCCTCCAATTCTGTAAATAAAACCAGTAAATCTTAAATTATAATTTTGCTATATATTTATATCTTACAAACCCCAGAATTGTTTTGTTGAAAATGCAACAATTTACTACAGCATACTTTGCATGTCTTACACTCAAACACTTCCTGACATGAAGGCCTGTACAATTCATTTTGTTCATGTAATTGTTTTACATTTCAATGAAAATGACCAAAAGAAAGTTGGCCAAATTACAGTTTTGATACCTCTCCATGAGCTTTTTTCTGGAGTCAGAATAACCAAGATTTGAGTTTTTGCCATAGAATTTCTGTAAGGAAAATGTGAAATCCTTAGATTTAGTGATTTAAGGTCTATTTCATAAAAGATACATTTCAGTGAAGGATATAAAATTAACGAGTGAAAGATTGTGTAATTGGGAAAGGAGGAAGAAATGTGATGGAGGTTGTCTCCCTTGTGTTGTGCCATGTGATGTTTATATATATACAAACTTTATCATAAAATCTGTCGAGTTTATACATGAATCTTTTTTGTATTGTCATTATACTTTTTGTGACAAATATGATAAATAAATTTTTAATGATACAACTTCTTGGTTTGTTATGATTATTGAAGTAGAATCAGTACAGGGATGAAAGGAACTACCGGTCACCTGAGAGATTCTCAGACCGGGCTCATCCCGTCTCCATTACTTAGAAGGCATTTTGATATCTAATGTTCTTTCAAAATTTTTCTTGGCAGGAATAGATCCCACCAAATGCATTTACTAAATTGGTCATGTTCCAACAGTGCAGAGAGCGAAAGTGATTGTAACCCTTGGAGTATGGAGGATACATTTCCAATCATTATTAGTGTCCTTAACGAGATAGGATGAGTCGTGACTACTTAAATGCCACGTCCCTTTATTCTAGAATGTCTTAGAAAGTCATCTCTATCCATTTTGCATGCAGGTTCTCCCTGCCGTGACTGTTATAGGTTGTTAATGAACTTAAATATGGTGTCCACTTCGCGATGTACACGTCCTGTTAGTAAATGCACTTGGTGGGGTCTACTTAGTATTACATGCCTCTAAGGAGTTTGTAAAACTGACAAAAGTGAGTATGGAGCGGTCATAGGTTTCCGGACGGTCAAGCTGCCAAATTGGTTGAAGAGAAATAATTTATGAGGAGTCTTCCCCTTCTTTTGTAAATATCAAACGTTGGGTGAGGACAGCTTTCAATCAATACAAGTCCGAAAAACTCTTAACACCACACAAACTAATGAGGAAAACCAAAGTATTACTAGTTTGTGAGTTTGTAATAGCAGCAGGCCTTTCATTTGGATCCATATACAGCGTACATTATGACAAGCTACTGAAGGATAACAACATTCATATTTATTACCATTGCTTGGGAGAAGCTTCATCTGTAGAAGGGATGGGGGCTGGAATCTATTTATAGATTTAGGATTAGATTAGCTCAAGGCCCGAGAGGAATCCATGGCATGGAATCACACAAGTTCAAAGCCACGATGTCAAGTAAGAAGGTTATGCCAACCATATTTCAGGAAATCAGTTCACATGCCCATGGGGCATCAATTCATGAGAAATATTACGCTAGACTACTGCGAAAGTCATTCAAGGAGAGGGTTCAGCTCCATGAGAAAACTCACATGTCCACACCCATCACGGAGAGGGTTCGGCTTCACCAGGATAACTCACTTGTCCACACCAATGTGTGAGAGGGTTCGGCTTCACCAGGATAACTCTTCTGTCCATACCCATCACGGAGAGGGTTCGGCTTCACCAGGATAATTCACTTGTCCACACCCATCACGGAGAGGGTTCGGCTTCACCAGGATAATTCACTTGTCCACACCCATCACGGAGAGGGTTCGGCTTCACCAGGATAATTCACTTGTCCACACCCATCACGGAGAGGGTTCGGCTTCACCAGGATAATTCACTTGTCCACACCCATCACGGAGAGGGTTTGGCTTCACCAGGATAATTCACTTGTCCACACCCATCACGGAGAGGGTTCGGCTTCACCAGGACAACTCTCCTGTCCATACCCATCACGGAGAGGGTTCAGCTTCACCAGGACAACTCTCCTGTCCATACCCATCACGGAGAGGGTTCGGCTTCACCAGGACAACTCTCCTTTCCATACCCATCACGGAGAGGGTTCAGCTTCACCAGGACAACTCTCCTTTCCATACCCATCACGGAGAGGATTCGGCTTCACCAGGATAACTCTCCTGTCCATACCTATCACGGAGAGGATTCGGCTTCACCAAGACAACTCTCCTGTCCATACCTATCACGGAGAGGGTTCGGCTTCACCAGGATAACTCTCCTGTCCATACCTATCACGGAGAGGATTCGGCTTCACCAGGACAACTCACCTGTCCACACCAATCACGGAGAGGGTTCGGCTTCACCAGGACAACTCACCTGTCTATACTCATCACGGAGAGGGTTCGGCTTCACCAGGACAACTCTCCTGTCCATACCCATCACGGAGAGGGTTCGGCTTCACCAGGACAACTCTCCTGTCCATACCCATCACGGAGAGGGTTCGGCTTCACCAGGACAACTCTCCTGTCCATACCCATCACGGAGAGGGTTCAGCTTCACCAGGACAACTCTCCTGTCCATACCCATCACGGAGAGGGTTCGGCTTCACCAGGACAACTCTCCTTTCCATACCCATCACGGAGAGGGTTCAGCTTCACCAGGACAACTCTCCTTTCCATACCCATCACGGAGAGGATTCGGCTTCACCAGGATAACTCTCCTGTCCATACCTATCACGGAGAGGATTCGGCTTCACCAAGACAACTCTCCTGTCCATACCTATCACGGAGAGGGTTCGGCTTCACCAGGATAACTCTCCTGTCCATACCTATCACGGAGAGGATTCGGCTTCACCAGGACAACTCACCTGTCCACACCAATCACGGAGAGGGTTCGGCTTCACCAGGACAACTCACCTGTCTATACTCATCACGGAGAGGGTTCGGCTTCACCAGGACAACTCACCTGTCCACACCAATCACGGAGAGAGTTCGGCTTCACCAGGACAACTCACCTGTCCACACCCATCACGGAGAGGGTTCGGCTTCACCAGGATAACTCACTTGTCCACACACATCACGGAGAGAGTTCGGCTTCACCAGGACAACTCACCTGTCCACACCAATCACGGAGAGGGTTCGGCTTCACCAGGACAACTCACCTGTCCACACCCATCACGGAGAGGGTTCGGCTTCACCAGGATAACTCACTTGTCCACACACATCACGGAGAGAGTTCGGCTTCACCAGGATAACTCACTTGTCCACACCAATGTGTGAGAGGATTCGGCTTCACCAAGACAACTCACCTGTCCACACCAATCACGGAGAGGGTTCGGCTTCACCAGGATAACTCACTTGTCCACACCAATGTGTGAGAGGATTCGGCTTCACCAAGACAACTCTCCTGTCCACACCCATCACGGAGAGGATTCGGCTTCACCAGGACAACTCACCTGTCCACACCCATCACGGAGAGGATTCGGCTTCACCAGGACAACTCACCTGTCCACACCAATGTGTGAGAGGGTTCGGCTTCACCAAGACAACTCTCCTGTCCATACCCATCACGGAGAGGATTCGGCTTCACCAAGACAACTCTCCTGTCCATACCCATCACGGAGAGGGTTCGGCTTCACCAGGACAACTCACCTGTCCACACCCATCACGGAGAGAGTTCGGCTTCACCAAGACAACTCTCCTGTCCATACCCATCACGGAGAGAGTTCGGCTTCACCAGGACAACTCACCTGTCCACACCAATCACGGAGAGGGTTCGGCTTCACCAGGACAACTCACCTGTCCACACCCATCACGGAGAGGGTTCGGCTTCACCAGGACAACTCACCTGTCCACACCCATCACGGAGAGGGTTCGGCTTCACCAAGACAACTCTCCTGTCCATACCCATCACGGAGAGAGTTCGGCTTCACCAGGACAACTCACCTGTCCACACCAATCACGGAGAGGGTTCGGCTTCACCAGGACAACTCACCTGTCCACACCCATCACGGAGAGGGTTCGGCTTCACCAGGATAACTCACTTGTCCACACCAATCATGGAGAGAGTTCGGCTTCACCAAGACAACTCATCTGTCCACACCAATTTGTGGGAGGGTTCGGCTTCACCGGGACAACTCACCTGTCCATACCCATCACGGAGAGGGTTCGGCTTCACCAGGACAACTCACCTGTCCACACCCATCACGGAGAGGGTTCGGCTTCACCAGGATAACTCACTTGTCCATACCCATCACGGAGAGGGTTCGGCTTCACCGGGACAACTCACCTGTCCATACCCATCACGGAGAGGGTTCGGCTTCACCAAGACAACTCACCTGTCCACACCAATTTGTGTGAGGGTTCGGCTTCACCAGGATAACTCACTTGTCCACACCAATCATGGAGAGAGTTCGGCTTCACCAAGACAACTCATCTGTCCACACCAATTTGTGGGAGGGTTCGGCTTCACCGGGACAACTCACCTGTCCATACCCATCACGGAGAGGGTTCGGCTTCACCAGGACAACTCACCTGTCCACACCCATCACGGAGAGGGTTCGGCTTCACCAGGATAACTCACTTGTCCATACCCATCACGGAGAGGGTTCGGCTTCACCGGGACAACTCACCTGTCCATACCCATCACGGAGAGGGTTCGGCTTCACCAGGACAACTCACCTGTCCATACCCATCACGGAGAGGGTTCGGCTTCACCGGGACAACTCACTTGTCCACACACATCACGGAGAGAGTTCGGCTTCACCAAGACAACTCTCCTGTCCATACCTATCACGGAGAGGGTTCGGCTTCACCAGGATAACTCTCCTGTCCATACCTATCACGGAGAGGATTCGGCTTCACCAGGACAACTCACCTGTCCACACCCATCACGGAGAGGGTTCGGCTTCACCAGGATAACTCACTTGTCCATACCCATCACGGAGAGGGTTCGGCTTCACCGGGACAACTCACCTGTCCATACCCATCACGGAGAGGGTTCGGCTTCACCAAGACAACTCACCTGTCCACACCAATTTGTGTGAGGGTTCGGCTTCACCAGGATAACTCACTTGTCCACACCAATCATGGAGAGAGTTCGGCTTCACCAAGACAACTCATCTGTCCACACCAATTTGTGGGAGGGTTCGGCTTCACCGGGACAACTCACCTGTCCACACCCATCACGGAGAGGGTTCGGCTTCACCAGGACAACTCACCTGTCCACACCAATCACGGAGAGGGTTCGGCTTCACCAGGATAACTCACTTGTCCACACACATCACGGAGAGAGTTCGGCTTCACCAGGACAACTCACCTGTCCACACCTATCACGGAGAAGTTTCGGCTAGGATTGAGGACATTTTCCAGCAGATCCAGCATTTCCTATGGGAACCTTCAGTTATTTAATTCCCTAAAACATGGCGCACAAGTGGCACTTTTCATGTTTCAGAATCATTCGGTTGCTTGCTTTTACTTTTACGTGTATTAATTTCATACCAAACACGAAGTGTTTTTTTTTTATTTATTAGTCCTTTTCTAAAACCATTAAACATAACAATTTCATGAACGTGTTTTAATGTTTCATTGAAAAAAAAAATCTTTTTGTTTGATATCACGACGACATTTTAACACGTTAATGCTACATTTACTTTCCTAACATCTGATTATCTGTCCTACTTCCTACCAATTGCTTTGTCACGATACATTGTCGTTCAAGTATAGCCAGCCAATGTCGATTTCTTTCTATATTCCGGAAACCAGTTCCAATATCTTTATATCGTGGTGCTCGATATGACGTAATACTATATCTATGTGGAGAACCAATCAGAATAACGTAATATCCAAACATATTCTTTAAATCATCCAAAACCAGCTTGTTAATACCGCGACGATGCAGATGTTCCTGAGTGTGAAGAGCTGCTGACTTACTGCAGCTGATTTGATGAACTAACACATGAAGCTAGAAATGTCTTGATGGTGTTTAAAGCAGTGTTCAAACAATCTTCACGAAAATGTGCAACACTAGGAAATTGACCGGTGAAAGTAGGTATCTGTAGTATATAGGCTACAGTGAAGGGCCATATAGAAATTGATATCGAATATCGGACACTTTCGCAGAATAGGTATCCCGTTCGTTGTCACTAGTCTATCCCGCTTGATTCGAGACGAGAAATAAAACAGGGAGAGATTTGACCAAGTTGATGGGATTTTGTCTCTGAATCTAGTACCTATTTTCATCTGTGTAAGGAGGTGGTGGGGAAACGGACGCCTCTGTCGTCATGGCAGGATTGGTTTGTCCCATCGTGTCGTATGGCGGACTGCTTCCCAGTGAATTGGGAGGGGGATGAAAAGGTTCGTCTCCATCCTCACCTACTGAAACGAGCCAAGTAAAGGAATGAAGGAGTGAAACAGAGCACATATCAAAACTTACAAATGGGACATCATCTGTGTCCAGAAAATTCAAGCGTCAATTTATTTTACGTAAAGTTTGTGTAAGCGAAATATTTTAAATGATAGTTTCTTTTCCCTCATGTTATTGCTTGCGCATGTCCGACTCATTCACGTCATAGCTCTTGAAGCTACTAAACCAACCACTATGGCCTAGAAGAATAACGTACTTACACACGATATCACTACACTCCGACGGAGTGGCCTCAATTTCATTATCCGTCGGCAGTTCGATTGGTTTTGAATTTTTGTAAATACAAACGACTATGATGACAATAGCACCGATGAAAAGGAGAACACCGACCACAATACCGGCTATCATCCCTCTGTAAGGTAAGATCATATTGGTTAATCATATAACCTCGGTAAGATAAGGTCATATTGGTTAATAATGTTACTTCTCTAAGATAAGGTCATATTGGTTGAACATATTACCGTGGTAAGATAATATCATATTGGTTGAACATATTACCGTGGTAAGATAAGGTCATATTGGTTGAACATATTACCGTGGTAAGATAAGATCATATTGGTTGAACATATTACCGTGGTAAGATAAGATCATATTGGTTGAACATATTACCGTGGTAAGATAAGGTCATATTGGTTGAACATATTACCGTGGTAAGATAATGTCATATTGGTTGAACATGTTACTTCTCTAAGATATTATCATATTGGTTAATCATATTACCTCGGTAATATAAGGTCATATTGGTTGATCATGTTACTTCTCTAAGATAAGATCACATTGGTTGATATTATTACTGTTGCGTATATACCGGCATATTGTTTAACTACAACATCGTCTAGTTACGTGATCATTTATGTGACGCCGTAGATGTCATTGTGACAACACTGACCTTCCTGTAAGAACTACACGGGCTGACGCTGGGAGAATTGATAATCGTATATATGTAAACCTAAGTAAATGATATTTTTAGAATTTTGATCCTAAAACACATATTGTCATTATTTACAAACCGAATGAACCACTACTCGACATAAATGTAATGTCATTTTTTGTTTGTTTTTTTTGTTTTTGTTTTTGTTTTTTGTTTGTTTGTTTGTTTGTTTGGTTTTTTTTTAAATTAAAGATTCCATATCAGTCTATCAACCCTCGGGTTTATCAGTCCCGTGGAATGTCACACTCCTGTCAGTTTTTGATGAATTTTATCTACAGCAATATGTGTAATAAAGAAATATTAACCGCACTTACGCATTGTTCTTGTTCTGACAGCATGTTCGGTACACTGTATAACCACAGCAGCCTGCGTCACAATAGCCGTAGTAGGAGTAGTACTCCTGTCCGTAGGTGTAGGAGTAGGTGAGATACTGGTAACAGAAGTCGCCTGCATCACAACCTGAAATGTACAGGATAACAGAGGACCAATATAACACAAACATAACGTCCTCCATTTGAGATTTTAGATAATCGGCTATAAGTCAACCTTTTGTTGTAGTTAATCAGTGTTTTAAACTCTTATTTTAGAATTTCTTACTGTTTGATGATAAGTTTAATGATTTTAATTTTCCTACTGAAAATTTTCAGTTTCTGGAGAGCAAGCTCCTATTTTCTGTACCCTGTGTACATGTTGCAATTGATTTGACATTCAAGGACTTGCTCTCAATATCATGCAGCTGACAGACGCTCACAGTGCAATGTCTCGAGAGAAGCTGGCGGAAATGTTTTGGAAGTTTTACGGTATTTTTTGCGATATGAAGTTGAGGTTGGTTGATGCTCTATAGTATACCCGCTGGTTCCGCTGTTTTGTTGTTGTTGTTGTTGTTTTTAACCATACCGTGTTTTCATTTGGAAACGTGACATAACTTACTCTGATCGACCAAGATTTACATGACTGGAGTTGTGTATGAAGTAGAAAACGTTTACTTTCCCGGAACACCTGGTTTTATACTCCTTGTATTTTTTCAAGAATCTGCGTATTATTTAGTTAATATTTTGTCCTAATTTTACTGACTTTGAGATTGGACTATGATTCTGATAACATATACGAAGGACACACCAGTGAATACAACATTTTCATTCAAAGAGAATTAGATACAATAGAGCCAAATGATGAATTAAACCTCGTTTTTTTCCAGGACTCGCCAGTAACACCCAAAGGTGACCAAGGAAATCCCAAAATATCAAAATCTAGATTCGGGATGCTCAAGCGCCATTATCAAATAAATTGTCGTATATCTGATAATTACAAAAAGGCAAGTGCATATTTATAATACCCTGAACTGTGTTACCATTCGAACGAATTTTAATGAGACATGCAGGTTACGACAAACCTCGAGGACTAAGACTCAAGTAATCATGATGTCTACCATCTACAATCTCGAAGGTGCAAAGTTTACACCGATATCTTTGGGGTGGGGGATCAAGGGAATTAGACCATGTGTTCCGGATGGGTAAACGTCTCCTGCTTCATCAACGACTCTATGTAAACCTTGATCGATCCAAGAAAGTGACGTCAAATGACAACATTTAAGGTTACCAACAACGAAATCAACCGACATACATACGAACATAGAACACATGAAAGCTTCAATTCGCACGAGAAACTACAATATTTCCCAAAGAGATCATGATGGAGACCATAAAACTTTCCCATAATCTTCATCAATCTGTATCTCTCGAAATCGTGCCGTGAGTTTATCTCTCAGTTGTCAAAATCTTTCACGGAACAAGATCTAAGTACCGAAATCAAATAAGTGATTGAAAATTCACAATATGGTGAAATCACAATCATATTTGTCTTACAGCTTGGTGGTAGTTGTCTCTGATAGTTTCGTCATTCACCGATATTTTCATTAGTGCCAATTCCTTTGAAACAAAACAATTTGTTTCTTGTTGTTGACGGGCAAGTTATATGGTATGACAACAGGACCCATGCGGTCTATACTACTTCTTACGATATATGTAACACGTGTCCCTGTTGCTACCTTGTATAAAACTCAGGACCCGTTTCATATTATCTCGTATGAGTTCTGTAACACATTTTGCTGAGTTCGAGAATAATGAAGGTTTCTTCATAATTGAAATTTTAAATCAAGGAAACTTCCAAAAATGTGTCAAGCGTCTCCGGCTTCATCGAAAACAGACGCCGTACAAATCGAAGTTAATGGAAGGAAGTAATGTCACGTTCTCAAATGGGAACCGCGTTACACTGACGAACAAAAGCATCGGGCATTCGGAAGAGCATTCCAAAGGAAAGAAATATATCCACCTCGTGAGGTTGTAATGATGACTATATAACTTGCATATCTTCATCAATATAATCTCTTGGAACCTTGTATGTAGTCTTTGTTTTCCTGACACGTAAAACATGTATCGAAAACTTTGGACGTGCATGTGGAGAAAAAAAACACACATGAAAGTTGACAACAAGTAAGTTCAGATTTGGATCCTGATGGTCCAAGGAACAAACGTGTTAACATTAAGGTAATCGATTTGCACTAAGTATTGTCTTATCAAAATCCAACAAACACTAATACACACAAGTTAAAACGTGTTCTCCATTTTACAAACCAAATGTAAACAAAGGATAGAAATACCCAGGGCAAAAAATATACTAAATATGCTGCTTTATTTATATTACAATCTATAATTTTTAAACATTTTAGATAATTATCAACACCACAAAGTTAAACACTGGGTCACTTACCTAAAATATTACAAAGTAATATAAGCAGAATATACACGCTAGCCATGGCGGTCGTTCATTAGGCCGAACTAGTTCAGGGTAAGTCGTATTTAACTTAGGTCATATTGTAATCCACTGTGTGATCGAGGGATCAAGGAATTAGTGATATATATATAAATGGCTGATGGTCTTACTGTTTAAGTCTTCATATTGTTGTATATTTAAATGACATTGTTAGGTAGAGAACTTTGCCAGTTATTTGGACATTCCGAACGACCGCTTAATGAAAGTCAAAATAAACGGAGCCTGACTAAAATAAACAGAATAAACACATTTTATAACAAGAATCCACATGGAACGTATCTAATACTTCAGACTATTTTCTTTATACTACAGAGATGTCTAATATTACAATAAAGGAAATATGGGATATCGTTGGTGTCATGTTTTGGAAGACACGAAGTGATAATGAATGACTGTTGTCATTGTCAAATTCGTGACCATTAAGGTCTCTCTACCCTGTGATTACTTCCTACCATATATCTCATTAATTGTCGACAACTAATGACAACAAACTTTGTATATTTCTAGTCACCTGCGCGGTATGAGATCACGTCTGTTCGTTACTTCTTGTAATATAAGGTAGTTGTTGTTGGCCAGATCTATATTTTCAGAAAATGACATTAACGTAGAAAGGAAGGAACTTGCTCTTTCGGAACACCTGGTCTTAATCATATTCCTTTATGATCTCTGTTTACCATACATTTGTAATAATTTCCCCTCATCCTATCGATCTGAAATTTTTATTACGATTTTGTAAACATGATTGTTTAACCCATCACACATCTCCCTGCCAGGTAAAAAGATACATGACGTGACATAAATGATGGTGCATCCTACTGTTGGGTTCCGGAGATATCTTGTACACGATGTTATCATGGATGCACACACACTTAAAGGGATGACTAAAATGTATATAAACCATTCCAGTAGGGGAATACTTACTATTTCGTCTGTTGTCTCCCCATCCTTCATATGACCGAATACTGGCGGACTCCTTAGGTCTCGTACGTCGCCTTTATAACCCCTTTATTATGATAACTCGGATCAATTCAACCATACCTGATCAAAGCCTAACAAATTTTAAAGCATTTGATCTGAAACAAGAGATCCCAGAGAGATCTTGGCGCCCACCATTGTTTAGTCTTTATTTGTTCTTTGAAAGCTGAATCTTTTCCCTTACTTTTCTAATGTCTTCTCTGTTTTTTGCTCCTAATGATAAGAAAATTAAACATTCCTTTGCAGAAATAGCGAGGATAATCTTAAACTACCAAATCCATGATGATGGTCTGTAGGCCACCTGATTTTCTCTGATCAGTCTCAAAATCAAGCGGGCACAACCTAGAGATCAAGGAAAACCTACATAAGAAATTTGAGAGAGACCATTCAATGCTTCTTAAGAAATAAGGATAACAAATTGTACTAGGTGAAATAAAAGATGGCCGCCTGTCCGCCATCTTTTTTACCTGATCAGACCTGAAAATCAAACAGTCACAGCTAGGGAACACGAGGAAAAGTCCACCCAGTACTTCTCAAGAAATAGTGATAATAAACTTGCAAAATCAAAATCCAATATGCCACCTGTCGGCCATTTTGTTTTTCTGTTCAGACCCAAAATCTAATTGGCACAACTAGGGTAGCAGGAAACAGTTAATTTGCATTTTTCCAGAAATTACTAGTCATGTTTGAGATATTTAGGTATAGAAGTTTGGTTAGGGACAAAGGGGAACCTATAAATGAAATGTAAGAAAGACCCATCCGTTACTTCTCAAGAAATAGCAATAACAAACTTCATTGAAAAAATCCAAGATGGCCGCCTGTCAGCCATTTGTTTTTCTGGTCAGTCCCAAAATCAAGCAGGCACAACTAGAGATCAAAGAGAACCTACATATTCTGAAATTTGAGGAAGATCCATCTACTACTTGTCAAGAAAGAGATATAACAAAAAATTGTCTATGGACAGACAGATGGAGGAACAGACGGACAGATGGCCATGGATGAAGGGCGATGTGAAAAGCCAACCATCTGATGATGGTAGGCTAAATTTGTTTATGGACAGATGGACTATGGATTAGAGACGTAGGACGATTTGAATAGCACACCATCGTCATAATAGCCCACCATCATCATAATCTACTTTATCATTTTCTGACATTTTTTTCACAGGTTAATTCTTATAGACTTATGATCATTAGCAGAAAACACAACTGCTAAATATTTCACTTTAATAACAAGTTTTTAACAACTTTAACAATGAGATTTGTACCTGAAGGTATTAAGAACATGGTCTGATATAGGAGAGTAAAACTCCTGCCTCATTCATGTGGCTGTATTGATAACATACTTTCATTACGTGATTAATGTACATGTATGTCAAGCATATTATTATTGGCACCACAAACAATTAGAAACAATGATAATAAACAAACATTTGAATTCAGCATTCATTTAATAGGAATGTAGAGTATTTAAAAAACAAACAGATAGAAATAATTTAGTACCTAGATAATCAATTACATCACACTCACACCAAATCAGATTTTATAACATTATCATTTAAGTACAAAAATATAGATACCATCAGAAATGACATCCACTCAGGAGAAATATTGCAAAAATTGCAAACCGACTTAAATTGAACAATGATTTTGTTTACACTTTACTATAGGTCGTGTTTAGCAACCAGTAAACTAAGTCATTCATCAGTTTTAATAAGTCTACAAATAATTAAGTTTTAACACATGTCTCATCCATCATAGAATGTACATTTCCAAAATTATGTAAATTTTACCAGATCCAGGTTGTTACGCAGAAGTATAAGTCAGGATCATAGATACATGTAGGATGGAAGATTTATATAAGTAACAGCTGTACAGTAGATCTATTTATCAGCTGTTGTTCATCATATATACATCAGCCATGTTATGTATTCAGTAGATCAGTTACCACTATCATTGATTATGTCTATCATACGTCTACCTGTAATCAGTGAATCATATGTACCAAGCTATTGTAGATAATATATATTTACTATACAGAATGTAAAACACTTGACTACCATTATACAATATATCAATCCTTCAGTTACATGTAGCAGCTCAGTGGATTGTCAAATGTTGAACCCTAAAATCTTGAAGTCAAGCCAACTGCAAAAATTAGGCCTGACCTAAAATATAATAGTGTCTTACATAAATAAATCTGCATTTGTTTACTTTTACAGAAAATATACCTGTTTTATTTTTTTTAGGATATTTAGGAGATCTTTAGTTATAACCGGAGAGTATCTAAGAGACTGACAAAGTATTGCTGATTGAAGTCTCAGATTCATACAGTAGCCACTTATACAAAATAGTAAAATAAAAAGAAAAACATCTTAATTAGTCAGACAAGAAATATCTCCAGCTGAAGAAATTTCTGAAGCACCAACATGCTGCTAAGTTGTGTGTTGAGGATCATTTTCTAGGCCTCAGGAGAGTACCTATTGGTATTCAGAGGTTTCTTAACAAGTAGATAACAACTAAAAGACAAAAAAAGGAGAGCACCAATTGCTTAAGTCCTGATGACAGCCTGCCTTTGAAGCTGAAACATGTCGGAAATCAGCTAGAGAAGAAAGTAGTATATACTATTGATCTATCTGGCTTCAGGACTTGGTGCTCTTCTTTTTTAGTTATTTTTCAAATGCATGTTAAGTAAAATCTATTAAAATACCTCTTTAAATCATCGTAAGATAAGAAAAAAAAAAAAAAAAAAGCTTTATCGTGTAAAATGTATCAGGTGTGTACTAGAATTGTTCACCCACTGGAGATTGAGATGAGAGTAATCTCAACCTGTAGGGTAAGATTTTTTAGTGGCCAAACATATCACATTGCTGTGTGTTTTCTCCCAAGTTTTTTTTATATATATAAGGCACACAACAAGTGGATCATTAACATGTTTAGCTATAAGACCTCTCAAATGAAGGCTGTATAGTCAGCATCAGGGAGATTATCACAGTCAATATGGAACATCATTGGTCAATCTTACACATATTTACATCCTAAATCATCTAGGCAGTCTATCTTATATAAATGAAATAACATATAGCACATACAAGTATCTATTGAAATATCAACATTATAAAGCAAGTATATATATTCCTAGCATCAGAACATCATACTGAAATGATATTAAACAGAACATTTTATAGATGACCGGAAATAGTTAAAGTTTTGTCACAGAAATTTCTGTAAGATAGTGATAAAAGACTGATAAAGTTAAAATAACAGTATCAGTCCAATAGAAATTTTTTGAGTTAGATCATTTCTTTGTAAAGTCCCTCTTTAACAGTTGATGTCCTGATGTTCAGTAGAAGTTTTACAAACTTGTCTTGAGATCTTGTCTGTGACCAAGCTCTTTAGAAAACATTATCAGATTTTTCCAGGTTTGTGCTATCACAAACTCACAAAAACTCATTAGTGATAGTTGTATACAAAATAAAAACAAATAGAAAAAAAGTTCAACTAGACGAAGACAATTGCTCTGAAATTGTAAACTTGACATGTAAAGAGAATAAGTACAGGGGAAATGAAATTTCAGATCTGGGCAATTTCAAAAGTACCATAAACACTATGATATCAGCTGTTTGGAAAATAAATAGTCCAATGTAAACATGGAAATAATGATACAAATATTGGAAAAATATCACTTTCATACAATTAAGAACATAGAGGATACAATTTTAAGATTGACTGAATAATCTGGTATAAAAAGCTATGAAAAAACGATGTTTCTTTTAAGTAAAACAAATACCAAGTAAAATAGGACATTTAGCAAAACTTAATTAAGGAAATTAAGAAATAAATACATGTTTATATTAAACATAACTGACATCAAGATCTATCAAATGTGTACTTAAGCACATACTCTTTATAGAGATGACTTTGTTTTAGTGAGAACTTCATTTTAGTGGTAACCTTATTTTCAAGGTGACATTATTTTGATAGTAACGCTATTTTGATGGTAATATCATTTTGAAGGTAATGGTAACCTTACTTTAATGGTAATGTTATTTCAATGGTAATGCTATTTTAGCACTTTACTCCTGATATAAATGAACTAAGTACAGCATTTCCTTTAGTTATTTGTATAATATAAAAAATATATACATACATCACAACATAACTGAAACACCGCATTTTGAGACCAGATAGAGAGAAATAAAGTATTTGTGGCAGTAGAAATCAACAATGATTAGCAGTACAAAAATAACATGTGACTCTTCCATAACAAAAATAACCGTTCCATTTACACAAGTACCAAAAAATAAATCAATGACTATTCCTGACATCAACAGGTGTCTAACTTGTAAAACAGCCGAAAAACTCCTTAAATGTGATGATATCTTGATTGTGTGAACACATGATAATTATACATTTTGCCAAAACAACTGATTGTGCTTAAAATAATTTCCTGTATATTCTACAGGTAAAATACCAAGGTATGTTAAAACTTTCAAAATTACATCTAAACCTTTTACAAATGTATATATATTAACATTGGCAATTCTGGTAACAATTCAGGATATTGAGACAGGATTCAGTTCCAGTCAATGTTTGATGTATGGTCCTTTCCTACTGGTACTTTTAATATGGACATTATCAAAATCTGCAATTCCAAATGAATCAGTTCCTATGGCAACAAATCCATGGGCTGGTGTACTAGGCACAGTGATATTAAACAGTGTCTGTTTATTAAGTCTGCCAAATGCACGATTCCCCTGCAATATAAGTATATAACAATGAACATCATATCAACAGCATTTAGCAACACATCTTGTGATAAGTTTATCAGTTTTTTTTCAAGTTCACAGAATTGAACATCTTAAACTACCCAGCTCTTTGTTAAATAAAGAAGGCTGGAACATCTGACTGTCTTCTTAAAACTCACTGTATGATCTGAAAATTGATTTATAAAAATGGGGCAAAGCCACAATTGGCCGAGTTGTGGGATGAGTGCAGTGTTATTTGGTATATATAGGACAGTTAAGGGTGTTTCATATATATAAACATCCTACAAACTTTCAAGCTTCTACGTCAAAAACTCTACTGGTACCCCTTTTCCCGGCCAAACTGCTGAAAACAACTAAGTTCCAAAGCCCGGAAAATCCAGAAAAATGTCCGGAATGAATCCGTAGTACATGGTGCATATATATAAACATCCTACAAAGTTTTAAGCTTCTACATCAAAAACTCTAGGAGGAGTTAATTCTACAAAACTGGTACCCCTTTTCCCTGCCCACTTTGTGCAACCCGGCCAAAAATGACCGAAACAAATTAATAGAAAATATTTTCATATGATTTCCTTAGTAGCAATAAGGGCTTCCTGGTGAGAAATGTGTATTTTTCATAAACCAAACTATTACTATTCTATTTCCTTTTCACTGGTCTACAGTTAAGTGACTGTTGTAACAAAAACATACCTCCAGAGCCAGTTCTAGAGTGTTCCAACCCAGTACAGCTTCAGTTGCCTCCCCTTCCTTCAACGGAATCGTTCTGGCTGCAACATCAATGTCATACACCATATAACATGTCCTGTTACACATGAATTCAGAGCAGTGAAGACCTAGGAGGCCTGACCAACAATGTGATTGATATAAATACCATAGACTATAATGCAGAATGCACACCAGAATCAGACAGCTAGTTATTTAACAACTGATGTACATTATTCTATCTATATAAAGAAGATGAAGTAATGAAATGAAGTTTTGAAGGCTAAATAATAAGGTTACTGTTGTATTCTGGGTTTTAGTTTAGTTTTAAACACCAGCTCCTGACACACAGATAATTACCTAAATCATTGGTCAGTATGAATTTCTTCTCACTAGGAAACAGAAAGAAAAAGATCCCCTTCGCATGCCACGACTGACATCCACCCTGATCCACACGGGCTGCCACAAATACTCCAGTCGTACCGTTAACAGGACCAATGGCCACATCTGTACTCACATACACGTCAGACCTGTGTCATGTAAATCAAGGGAGGTAATCATCACAGTTACACAGATAATTCTCTGACTTTCTACATGTTATGGCTAACTGTTACATATAGATTAGGAAGCTTGAAGGACAACAGAATTACACTGATTTAGGAATTACATACAATCTAGTGTATATTTTAACAAGGATACCCCAGGATCTGCCTCTATCTTTAACAATTCCTCTTAAAGAGATATGCTACACTAGAGAGACAAGCAAAAGAGTTCCATGCTATATTCTAAGAAATAGTATTTCGTAAATGCATTATGGGGTTAATGGTAGACGATAATTTGAAACCATGCAAATATGAACAAGATAACACCCATCTTTTTAATCTATAATATTTGACAACTCTTAGTAAAATCAGAGATATCAATATAAACATAACACAGTAAATCAGATCTAACCCAATGGTACTGTGAAGGAATCTAAATACAAATCAATCCTAAAAAGGACAGAACAATGGCTGAACTGTTGTATTGATTTGTTAATCAACATTTCATATGTAGGCAGTTTTTGCATATTGAAATTTATAACAAATTTATATGATAATATGAATAAGCAGAAATTTAAACACAGAAATTTGATTTTCAATTTTGTGCAATTTGTATGAAACAAGAATAATAGATAACTTGATATATACTAATATAAAATTATACTTCTACAGAAACAATGCATTTGTATATAGGAGAGAACATCATTAATGGTGGTGGAGATATGTTAACAGATCAATAGCAGGCTTTAAGCACACAAGATAAAGTTGACATTCAACATTATAAAGAAAACAAGGAACTTGAGGACACCACGTAGTAGGACAGGAGATTAGATGTTATTGATAACCAAAGTCATGGTTACCACACAGCAAGAATTGAAATCACTCCACACAAAAATATTTAATTTTTTTACTTTTTAACTAAAAATATTTAATCATGCGTCATGGTGCAATGGTGCTGTAAAGACAACACGTGTATTGTCTAGAGGCTGTGACTGGTGACATTTGTGGACAACATATCACTATCCCCAAAACATCTTAACAGAATATGACAATTTAAATATTTAAAATTCAAAAAATGTGTTCAAATGGAGAAACCCATCAACAATACGTTTTTAGATTTTTTTTATCAATTACAAAATATCATTGTATCATACACCAATAAAACACTAATCCACTTTGTAATCATGAATTCTGATATGTATTATTATCTGTTTGACTGATTAAAAGGCATGCAATGGATCTTAAAAGTGACAGAAAACCAAGAAAAATCTGTGACAGTAGGTAGGTTATCTATGAATACTACCTAACAACATATACAAAAAAGCATGATTCTGTTAAATGCTGCTCTTGATAAATTTATGCTGCCATGCTACCTTGCCACAATAACCTTTCTTTATTTTGAGAGAATAATAAGTGTATAAAAAGAATATAAAGGATAAATTTCCAACTTTTTAAAAATATTTCCCTAATTTTTTAATGATTTCAACAGATAAGTCTATCCTATTAATTACCTTACTGACTTTGTACTCACAACAGACCTTGTCAAAAGCGTTACCAGCAGTCTGTCTAAATAGGTACTGATCAGAGACATGATAAGAAAAGAGGCCATTTTGTACATCATAACTGATGCCATCTATATTTAGCAATTGTGCTTTCCTGAAGTAGAAAACTAAATACATCCGAGATATTGTCTATGTACCTTCTCTATCACAGTACATACTGGCATGAGTATCCTACAAACATTTTCCCTACCAAATTACCCATATATTGCCCAGGAAAGTGTTGTTTAAATAGCAGATACATATCTGTTTTCTTTATCAGGCTAGGATTAGCTCACAAAGAGAAATCAGCACAACAAAGACCATAGAAAATGGAGGTCAAAACAAGGATAAAACCTATTTCATTACCAATCAGGTAGATATCTTATTAAACTCTTAAACTATTACATCCTACAAACCCTCAACAAATAAACATTCTAATATTTCCCTGAAGAATTATTTTTTAAAGAGAAAATAAGTGTTTATTAAAATGAGGTTCTATACATGTACAGTGATTTTTCGGAGAAAGGAGAAACAAACATTTAAATGGTGAGCAACATACCATGGTCTACCTATGAGGTTTAGGGGCATGATGAGAGGGAAAGGACACCAGTGGATTGGAGGTTTCAGCACAACCTGTCGAAGCACCTGGCCGTGACTTGCGTCATTTGACCTTATAACCTCAAAAGAACCAACTTGCTGAGCAAAGTTGAAAGGCTCGGAAAAATCAGGAAAAGCTGTGAAAATAATAGACAATGTCTTGTGGAAAAACCTTTGATAAGTCAAATAAAGGATGGTTCTGTAATTTGATAGGGGCAGTAGTGTTGATATACTGATGGATGATATGAAATGTTATAGTTCACACTTGTCATATCAGTTACCAGGCAATCTTTATCAGACATGAAGGATCTAAGCTTATATACTGGGACTACATGAAGCTTGAACATGTATGCTTACCATTCTGCATAAATTCTTCTTTAAGGTCATGTTATAGATGTAAATAAAATGTTCAATAACAATAATCACGAGTCTGCATCACTAAAGTGCTTGCTTCTTATGATCACATATTGTTTAAGGGTAGAAACATTAAAATAACTCTGCAATGTAAAAAAATTATCTAGTAGAATCTGTAAAAGAATTTGAAGTAAGGACCAATTACAACAAATAACACTTTACTTTTCCAGTATAAAAACTTGTACAGAAGAATATCAATACAAGAGTTAGATAACCAAATGTGATCGTCAGACCCAAGATTAACTCTGCCTCAGCAAAACCATGGTAAGTGATTTAAAATGGATTTAAACTCAACACACCAAGACAGAGTTTACCATAAAGATAATGATATCAGAGTGCCACTCTACCAGACAAGAGATTACCAGGTAAATATACCCCATACTGTTATGGAAAAATAACAGGGAATAAATACCTAGTAGGCCTTGATCTATTGTCTGTGCAACTTCTGATTAAGACCATGATTGAAATAAACCATTAGGTTTCCGGCAAGCTCAGATCAGCTCAGATAAGCTCAGAGATTGTGATCTGATATTCATATCCTGACTTGTTCATTAAAGAAATGTATTGCTGTATATAACAACCTCTTATATTTCATGTGTGATTTGTTTCTACTTCAAAAGTCATATGAAAATTTTTTTAATAATTTGGAGCAATTTCAGTTGAATTTTGTGTCTGGGTAAATGTTGTCCACAATAATCGACCAATCAGATCCTCAGACAGATTCTGACCATTTGGAGTTGCCGATGAGGTTAAGTGACTTGTTGATGGTGTCAGCCTTGCACCAGATCACAGGAGTCTGAAGAACAACTTGACGGAGGACGTTGCCATGGGACTGATCTCCAGATACAATCTCATAAGACCCAGTTTGTTCAGTAAAATCCACGGGCTTGGATCCTGTTTATAGGGGTATGTACATACATTTACACCAATCAAGGCTGTGTATATGTAAACTGAAACCTCAGACATGTGGGGGGATAAGGAGAAAACTGACAACTTGGACATGTACCTGTAATGACATCTATTCCTTTATACAGTTTTTTCTTTATTCCAGAATTGAGGCTTCCAAAACATTTATCATACCTATTTCTCAGTCCAGACAAAAATAATATGTTATAAATCTTACAAAAATCAGAAAAACCTTCAAACAAATCTTATCAAATACTTCATATTAATTTTTTTTTTGTTTCATTAAAAAAATATTGAGATAAACAAATAATCAATTACGAATATTGAGTTAAACAAATAATCAATTACGAATATTGAGTTAAACAAATAATCAATTATGAATATTGAGTTAAACAAATAATCAATTACGAAAATTGAGTTAAACAAATAATCAATTACGAATATTGAGTTAAACAAATAATCAATTACGAATATTGAGTTAAACAAATAATCAATTATGAATATTGAGTTAAACAAATAATCAATTACGAATATTGAGTTAAACAAATAATCTACGAATATTGAGTTAAACAAATAATCAATTATGAATATTGAGTTAAACAAATAATCAATTACGAATATTGAGTTAAACAAATAATCAATTACAATGTTGAGTTAAACAATGTCCTAAATGACCATTGATTTTAAATGAAAAAATACAAAGTTTTGGTATATAATCTAATATTGTGTTGCTATGGTAATTTTTACCTTCAAAATCCTCTGAGTAGGTGTCTGGGAATGGCTGTCTAGCAGGTGGGTCTGGATATATGCCTTTTTTTCCCCTTAGGAGGGACGTTAATGTATACACTTCATCAACACCCACAGAAAGTGTCACTTTCCCATTCAGGACCTGTTGTTTCCGAAATATATGTTTTTACCACATTTGAGCTCAATATAGAATAAATTATATCTGAAGCCTGATATGGTATTAAGTTAAGTCTGCTTATATAACAGAAAGTAGTCTTACAGTAATCAAAGACATCTCGTTTACAGTAAACTTAAAGGTGACCAGAATTACTGATGGTCATTAAATAACAGATTAAGTGAGAATGGTTTATATCAATTAATCGTTGTTAGATTTCTACAGGTGATTTCAGAATATCACTTCCAAACTTTTGATTAGTTGCATTACTTAGAGATATAAAGGTCCTTTTGAGTGAATCCCACATGAAAACCATGAGTCCAGGACTGAAGCATCTGAGTCTAAAACATCAGTGATGTCTGAGATACAAATATATTCCTTATTTCTATTCTACATACACTGTATACTCACCTTTACAGGAGAGAGTCGTTTAAACAAAACAGAAGTCTCATTGTTCCCAAAGGCTAACTTACTGTACCACACATTCAGCTGCAGCAACTTTGCCTGAAAGTGATAAGTTTTGGCTATGTCAGAGGGTTTAAAACAAATGCTGTTCACTTAGCTACTATCAGTTATGATCCACATACATCAACATTAGAACTACGAGACATATTGGGTGCACAGCTACCAACAAATACATTTTTATTGCCATGTTGACTGGTATCATATTTAAAACAACTCAACATTATTATTCTATTTTTTTTTTTCAAATGACCTGTGACAATAATTGCCACACAATATATAACATGTAGTAGTATTTCTCTGACCAGTCATCTCTGACTAGATTTCATAAGCTTCTCTGTTCTTATCAACCAAACAAATCAATGTAGTTAGAGAACTACTTTACAAGCTTTATCATCACGATGCCTTATTCCCCCTCCCAAACGACTGATCTAACCTGATTTGTCATTGGTTTACCTCCTAAAGGATCATTTATGCATGACCCTATGTCACTTACCAAGTCCCCACTAAGTTGTAGGGAAACATTCTGTGGAATAACTTTGTAAGCAGGAAGTGCAGGTCGGATACAGAGGGAGTGGTCATGGCTCTGTCAGACACAAACACAAATATTAGATCTATATTAATGATGTGAAGCTATCATGATTTTTATGTCAATGTTTAAATTTCATTTGCAGTTTAGTATGGTTTCCAATCACAATGTTTAAATTTATGAAGTTACAATGGTTTCTATAATCATGTTTAAGTTTACACATTTACTATGGTTTCTACAATCATGTTAAATGTTGTAAAAGTTATGTAAGTTTCTATGATCATATTAAAATTACAATGGTTTCTATGACAACAATGGGATATTACCATAGTTTCTATAATGATGGTGAGGTCTTTGTTGTCTGGACTAACCAGTGACACATAACTACCACCATGAGTCAGCTTTCCAACTCCAGAGCCATGTGGAAGGTATTTCCATCCCGGGGAAGTAAACTGAGTTGTATGAGCTAGAAAATACAACAGTATACATGGTTACTGTTTCATAATGAAGCTTTTCATGATAAGTAAGGAAAATATAATAACTGAACCTACAAAACAAGCTTACATAAAATGCATGTTTCTATATCAACTTTGTTTATTTTACAACAAAACGAGATATCAGCTTTTATTTATCACTTTTCTTGGCCTGGATGGAAGAACAAGGGGAAAGGCAGGAAACCAGAGTACCAGGAGAAAACCCACTTGGTCAGGCAGGTGACCCCATACTTTTTCACATCCGTTCATGGAATCTAACCACAAAAAGCTAGGCGAAAGGTGACTGCAATATCACTGAGCCATCCAACCACATACAAATACACTGTGCCACCCAACCACATATAAAACCATATTTATAATGATACATTATCACTGAGCCACACAGCCACATATAAAAACATATTTATAATGATACATTATCACTGTGCCACCCAACCACATATAAAAACATATTTATAATGATACATTATCACTGAGCCACACAGCCACATATAAAAACATATTTATAATGATACATTATCACTGAGCCACACAGCCACATATAAAAACAAATTTATAATGATACATTATCACTGAGCCACATAGCCACATATAAATACACTGAACCACCGAACCACATCTAAATTCATATTCATAGTGATATGTTAACACTGAGCCACCGAACCACATATAAATACATATTTATAGTGATATGTTAACAACGAGCCACCGAACCACATATAAATACATAATCATAGTGATATGTTAACATTGAGCCACCGAACCACATATAAATACATATTTATAGTGATATGTTAACACTGAGCCACCCAACCACATCTAAACACACTGAGCCATCCAACCACATATAAATACATATTTATAGTGATATGTTAACATTGAGCCACCGAACCACATATAAATACATATTTATAGTGATATGTTAACACCGAGCCACCGAACCACATATAAATACATATTTATAGTGATATGTTAACATTGAGCCACCGAACCACATATAAATACATATTTATAGTGATATGTTAACATTGAGCCACCGAACCACATATAAATACATATTTATAGTGATATGTTAACACTGAGCCACCCAACCACATATAAACACACTGAGCCACCGAACCACATATAAATACATATTTATAGTGATATGTTAACACCGAGCTACCGAACCACATATAAATACATATTCATAGTGATATGTTAACATTGAGCCACCGAACCACATATAAATACATATTTATTGTGATATGTTAACACCGAGCCACCGAACCACATATAAATACATATTTATAGTGATATGTTAACACCGAGCCACCGAACCAAATATAAATACATATTCATTGTGATATGTTAATATTGAGCTACCAAACCACATATAAATACATATTCATTGTGATACATTTACTAGTAACTTCAAAATACTTTTCTCTAAAACCATTAAAAATTTCACTGAATCACTGATTATGCATTCAAACCTATTTTTCACCTGTCATCCATATAGGGTTGGAGACATCATAATGTCCACTCCAGGGGTTGTCAGCAGTCATCAGTCCACAGCCTGGGTAGGGTAGGGCATTGTAGTAGCTGGCTATAAGGTTCCATGATATTGTACTGTAACCATCCAAATTCAAACTCAAACTTAGCAGGTAATGAATGTTTCAACAACATCGTAAACTATTGTCAGTCAAATTGTTTGTATATTTATCAAACATGAAAAATCACCATAGGCTTCATTGTTTCCAAGATTTCTTTTGATATTTGAATAAAACAAATATCGATTTGTTATATTAAACCAGTCTCCTAACTTGAGGCAAGAGTGGGTGTTTTATATAAACAATATTTACCAGTACACCGAATTCATCGTATCAATCTTTGACTATGTATAATATATACCAACCTTGTCATGAAGCCATTTACAAAGTTTTGGTTCAGTATCTGAAATTAAAGAACATGTTTCAAACAGTATACAATAATGTATTATAATATCTCAGTATACATGTACATAGAATAAGAAAAAAATCCCTGTAACTCAACATTCCTGTGTTATGGTAGATTGTCCTTCTGACACTATACATATTGTATTAATAAACTACAAAGGAAAATCTATTACGAAATCCATGAGATATTTTGAACACAAGCTTTTTATTTCAAAAGTGTTCAAATGTGATCTTTGATCCTGAATTTTGACCGTGAATATCAAATCTAATCAGATACTGAACTAAATGATTTAAGGTTATGAAGTTCACATCTAATACAGATATACAGCAAAATGCACGCTGTACCCTTGCCCCGCAGCCTGCCCCTGTATTGATCTACATACCCTTGCCCAGCAGATTACCCCTGTATTGTTCTACATATCCTTGCCCAGCAGCCTGCCCCTGTATTGCTCTATGTACCCTTGCCCAGCAGCCTACCCCTGTATTGTTCTACATACCCTCTCCCAGCAGCCTGCCTCTGTATTGTTCTACGTACCCTTGCCCAGCAGCCTGCCCCTGTATTGTTCTACATACCCTTGCCCAGTAGCCTGCCTCTGTATTGTTCTATAACTCTTGCCCAGCAGCCTGCCCCTGTGTTGCTCTACATATCCTTGCCCAGCAGCCTGCCCCTGTATTGCTCTACGTACCCTTGCCCAGCAGCCTGCCCCTGTATTGTTCTACGTACCCTTGCCCAGCAGCCTGCCCATGTCTTGTTCTACGTACCCTTGTCCAGCAGCCTGCCCATGTCTTGTTCTACGTACCCTTGCCCAGCAGCCTGCCCCTGTATTGTTCTACGTACCCTTGCCCAGCAGCCTGCCCCTGTATTGTTCTACATACCCTTGCCCAGCAGCCTGCCCCTGTATTGTTCTACATACCCTTGCCCAGCAGCCTGCCCCTGTGTTGTCGTTGTAGGTACTGTAGTCCTCTGATGACCAAAGCTGCTTGCCTGTTTTTAATGCTTCTGAGGTTGTTGTTGTACCAGGATAGTGGACACTGGTAATTAAACCAAATAAACACTAATCATTATTCCTGACAAAAGAACAAATTCATTGCATCTGTCTCTCTATAAGCTTATCGTAGGTTATGCTCAAGCCTTATTGATGTATATCAGTAGACAAGCTAATAAATGATCCTGTTTTCTTCCACCTGTATCTTCTACCTTTGTGGGCTATTTATATCCCATGTGGAACACCAATGTGGAATAATAGATACATTATCTTGGGTATAGAATTTGGTCCATACCTTAACTTTATACCCTGGATTAGAACATCCATACCTCAGACAGTACTTACATATCATGGTTGACTCTTAATTGACTTATCATTCCTCATCTGTGTACCTACTTCTTGGAGTCAGAGATTACCAATTAACCCCTGGTAGCATTAGAATAATCTTAACTTTTATCCATTGCTCAGCTCTTTCTTTCAGAATGCACTTTTCATGTTAAGCCTCCCCTTTGTCATTTGAGATTACTCAAAAAAAGCATATATTTGAATATTTTCTGCTCTGCTTCAGAATGACCTTTAACCTTTAAATTATGTTTTGTTTTGGGCAAGGTATACCTGCAGTAAAATAACAGTGATATAAAATGATTTGTAAATACTAAAACAGTGACTGAAGACAGGTACTAGTAATCTCACCCAATAAAATCAACAGCAGCAGCAAGCTCTTTGTCCAGTTCTATGGTCTTTGCAATCTCCCATCCACCATCTGCTGCCACGATCTTCACATGGCCCAGCTGATGCGTGTCCAGGCTCTCTCTCAGCATCTAAGTAGAAAGAAATCTCAGTATCACATGTTTAGGTCTATCAGATTGTGTGATGACAAATAAACCCATGTGAATTCATGTAATAAAATCTTTATTTGATACTCACCTTGATATAAGAAACGTCAAATGGTTTCTCATTCCAAATCTACAACAGAAAAAAAATCATATAGATTGTCATACTGACAATGAATGCACTTTCAGTCACTGTGTTCTATCTCTTTCTCAAGGTCACTACTGAATCAATGTCTTCTTTCTAGGAGATAATCTTTCTATCACACAATTACTCCCCTAGTCTGGTGATACCCATCCATACAGCTATGTACTCAAAAATAAGTTCTGTAGAATGTTCAAAAACAAAGCACAATGAAAAAAACTACATACTTTCATGACGATATAAATAGAGTCCTGCGGTAAGTAAGCTGACAAACAACACACAATATACCAAAATTATAACATACCAGTTCGGGCCTGAATTGGTGATTTTAATACTATGATACATGAAGTGATACTTAACCAGAAATGTCTCAGTACCTACCCCTACATAGTCGATGGTGAGGTTGTAAAATTTCTTAGCCCCGACAAGCCACCGTGTCACATATTCCGCTGTGCGTGTCACATTAGTGTAGGGATTGTCATGACCATCACCAAGCCATCCAGGGAATGCCCAAGGCAGACCATACAGTAGAATGTCAGGATTTCTCTGGAAAATACATATGATAATATGTATATCATACACCACTGAAGGATTGCGTATCTGCACAAAACACATGATGTTCACATTTGTGTCATGAACACCCTAATGTGCACTCATGTTGTCAGAAATGTTTTTTTCAAGAGCATGTGTGTTCATTTTGTTAGTCAAACTTTTTTTAACTCAAGTGTATGGAACTACAATGTTAAAGTTATAGCTTACATCAACAATTCATACAGTAACTTTAGAGAAGTACATTTTACAGACTAGTTCCTCACCTTTTTAGCTTCAGTCATTAACCACCACTCATATCCACGCTGGTAGTTCTCATCCCATTCATTGTGCATGTGAGATGCCTCTGTTCCCTCTTAAATACAAAGTTACAAAATACATGTGTGTATATATATATATATATCAATGAAATAATAGCAACAGTATGGACAAGTGATATGTTATTACAATAAAAAGTAATTTGATAAAAAAACACCAGTTAAATGCACAAAAATAAAAATATTTCTTTGAACATGGTCAAATAGTCCCCAGATTCGTCAACTCGCTCAAAGAAGAGTTGCCCAATAAAACTGAAAATTTCTACTTCCTGACTAGAGTTAATTAGAAAGGAAAGCAATTCTCCTTTATATTATAACTATACATACATTTATTTTTTTTCACAATAAATTTTCTTATTTTTAATCAAACAATTCCTCATTTAGAATGTGGCCTAGATATACCGGTAGATTACTTTCCGGAGAGTGTGACGTGCAATTGTTATCATTGTGATCACATATAGACTCAGTGTCTAGAGTGCAAAACATACCAAGATTGATATAAATCATTTTTGATATTTTAATCACCATCTTCCATTCAACAAATTGGAATGGTTATAAAGGGCCTTTGGAATCCATCAGCTGAAGGGATTATCAAGAAACCTAAATATTTACATCACCGCTCTCGATTTAGATTGGTAACTTTGTATTTGTTTTATGTTCTATGTATGTGATGTAATTTATGTAATACTTGTGTCATGATAATGGGGCAGGTTGCCTTAAAAATTTGACAATTCACTTGTCTGTACTGTCGTTATTACTTCATTGATCATATATATATGTATGAATGTGGTATGTAATTATATAAATCAAAGACAGTTAAAGACTAAGATCTCAATATGCCAAAAGGTATAGTTACCTGTGCTTTGAGAGTCTCCTCCAATTTCTACTTTTAATATCTGTAAAGATGCTGCAAAGTTGGGCTGAAAGTAGGGAATAAACTCTTAAAATTGCAGAAAATAACTGATACAGAAATTGATCATTGAAAATGCTGAAATGAGATTGTGGTCGACATATCTAAAGATATATGTTTAGTCTCAGCATTATTTTTGGTGTCATATATGTCTTGTTTAACAGGAAATTACTCTTTAAAAATGATAACGTATGAAAATGGATCAAGGTTATTGAAATAACTTTATCATTACTCTTGTCTCTTAATCCCCTGATTCCTGAATCAATTACCCATTACCACAAAATTTGAGCCCTAGGAAAAGGTACAGGATTTTATAATAATACCAACCAAAATGTATGTACTAATATACCATGTGTAACAACAGATTACTAGAACATATAAAATCATTTTATTTACATATTTACCTTGAACAGATAATCCAGGATTTGATCTCTGTACTTTTTTGGGTAGTTTACTAACAACTTAGATGTAGCCTGAAATAAAGTAAAGTCAATTATATGATATTTGATGATAAAATTGATGTAATGATTAATACAATATTTGTCTCTGTATGCGACTGAAAAATCACACCAGGAATAGGGATGAATTCTGCATTCTTTATCTATTTATAGAACTCGAATTCAGGCACATTTTTTACAGAAAATCATTAACATTTTGTTATTTTTCATTTATTTTGCTACAATGAAACAACAGATGCCTTCAAAACATGTTGCCTTTTTTTGTTGTAAGTGTTTAAAAGAACTTTATGAGTTTCTATTTCAAATTATTCCCCATTTGCTCAAATAAGTAACATGCTGTTACAGAATGTAAGACTATATATATTTATATATATATCCATATGCAGGTACATGTATCTGACCTGTTAATTACAAGAAACAGTACCAATGTTGCAACCTCTCCATTCATTTTAACTGAACATTGAGATTGGATAGTATGATAGTATAGAAAGGAATATCAGAACTTAATGTTACAGTGGTGACATAGACGATTAATTTCATTTTATAGTTAAATGTGAACAATATGCAGATATGAAAATATGTAAGCTTATATCATGTCGGGCATTTTCGTACCGAAGAATTTTCATCTGAGGGGAACTTTCGTTCAAGGGAATTTTCGTCCAAGGTAGTATCGTACTAACTATTGTATAGCACTATGGTTCTATATAGATAGGGTGTCAACAACCAATTATAACACCCTCTGCTGTGCTGATAATCAAATTTGATGTTTTAGAAGTTTATACAATGATTTGACTGGTTTTTACCCAAGTACTAGTACGCGTCTGTTGTTAGTCGGTGAAACCTCCTCACAAACGCGTAATATAAACAAAACAACACATTGATCATGTTAACAATCTTTAATAATTAACTAAAACAACATCGTCTGCTGTAAGGTCTGAAAACCATATACACCTAATACACACAACATACACACCTTATACACACATAACCTATTCTATAGTACTAGTAGTACGAAAATTCTCAGGACGAAAATTCTTCGGTACGAAAATTCCCGGGACCGCTTATATCTATCCGGTGTCCATATAATCTTACCCCTCCACCACTGAGACCACCGATTCCGTCAAATCGCCTGCCTAACCCCGGAGAAGTATGCACTTTATATACATCACAAAACGTGACTGAGAAGAATGCACACAGAACAATGCACCTTCCTATTGTTACAATCATCATCATCACCAAAGTTGCGTTCGTTGGTCCATAAAGAGAAATAAGATCGAACAGTCGATCATGTGAGAGACGGAAGTAAACGAAGAACTTCTAAACACAAGTTGGAGTCCAAGAAATAATTCCGGATATTAAGTTTTGCCTATGAAAATGATCTTGTTATCAAGCAAAATTTGCATAGTTATAGAAATATTGATGTGATAAAGGCATTTCATAATTCAATGTCAATGTCTACAATATAAGATAAACATTGTTGTCATCTTAAAACATTATCCGGAATGGTAGTTAAATTCCCCACTTGAGATTAGACACCATTGTCTCCGTCATTTGAAAGCTTGAAACATCACACAACAAAGCAGACTTGGAGAAACTTGGCGGTGGAAACTGTTTTTAATTGGTATGGCCTCTGCTAACACGGAAAGGCCTCAGAGTGGCAGCAATGGAAACCTTGTAGACGATCTTGAGAGCGCATTTCAGGTGAATACATATGTCTTGTTGACAGACTGAAATGTAAACTACCTAGGATAAGTGAATACCATTTAGCTGTTCAGTTGTTGATGATCACTTTGACGTTTATATGAGGAAATTACCAATTAGCTGTTATCAGGGGACAGAATACGCATATATAACCCCAATGCATTCAGAACCCCCACTCCAATCATAGTCAAGAGTTGACTAACACATAAAAACGGAAATGATATATAATGCAACCCGGTTAAAATCGCATTTTATGTTAATTTTATCCATTATGTAAAAGACCGTTGTTTGTCACCTATGTGATATTTATAATTGATAAAAAATTATACATGTACCATTGAAAATCACTTTCTTTCAAATTGATCTGCTGTAAAATTGAAAGTATTGTTCTGTTTCCTTATTATCTTTCTAGGGTTGTGTGAGTTTATTAACTAGTCAAGAATATTTCAACGTTACTGATTCAGAAGAAACAAAAGCAGGTAATATTGATTATTCATTACAGCATCAAACATGTGCCTTCAGTCAGATATGTACATAAACCAACTAAATGAAATATGGATTCTAGAAATAGACTCTGGTGGAAGCTAACTGATGAGATGCTCAGTTACCAGCTGTCAACCCAGTCCTGTTGCACATGACCAACATATGTTCTTTACAATTACATGCATTGACATAGTTGAGACAATTATATATGGTTATCTGACCTGTAATGAATTTTCAGTGTTTACTTTCAAACTTATGTATGAGTTATTTTAATTTCTAAATTTTACAGGAGTTGAACAGTCACTACAGAAGTTTTTAGACCTTGCTAGACAAACAGAAGCATTTTTCCTTCACAAGAGATTAGTTCTTTCTAAGACACGGCCTGAACAAGACATTAAAGATGTGAGTTATCGTGGTTGGATCATGTTCTGATGTGTGTGTGTGGGTACATTCGTTCAGTAAATTGTAATATGTTTGTGCTTTGATAAAGATCACTTTTCAGTTTCATTCATTTTGATACCAATCATTGACACAATTGCTAATTCTGGGTATTTGATTAACATATTTGTAATGTACATTTACACATAGATCTATGCATCTTAAGGTAATTTAAAAGGCAGTGCAGATAGAAAGATAAAGTTTCTGGATTGTTGGTTTTATTTCTTTTATTTATATCAGATGCTTATATCTCTCTTTCTTTGATACAATATTTTGGTATTCATGATCAGAGTACAGATGAACTGAAAGCAGAACTTGAGAGGAAGGATCAGTTGGTGAAACGACACCAAGAGAGATTACAGAAATGGCAGAGTCTGTTAAACAGTGTAGCAAGGGGACCTGGAGGGGGCGTGCCGGCACATGGCTCACAGACAATGACCTTAGGGCCTCCAGGTCAGGTCCCTACTGCTATGCCACACCCCCATGGCCAAACTATGCCCAATCCAGCACAGATGAATATGCCAGGTCAGGGATATAATGTAAACCAACCCCAGGGGTCAACACAGATACAGGGGCAAAATCCACAGATGATGATGCAGCGTCCTGCTCCAGGGCACCAAGGCATGGCACATAACCCTCCACCAGCCTACCCTCAGGGCCCCCTGGCCTATCTCGAACAAACCATGTCTGCCATAGGTATGCCAGAGAGACGGTGATTTTTATTTCTCATGTTATTTGTAAATATACTCATTAAAAATGAAAGAAACAAGTGATTGTTGCTGTTTATTCTGGGTGTAAGATATATTTATACAAGGGAAGCAACAATTGGCCAAGAATGAGAATTACACAGGCCTAACCTCTGTAAATGTGCTCCGTCATCTAATACCAAAAACTAAGTGATTGAAAATTTTAGATTTTGGTAATGCTACATTATATTTACATGTATCATTAATACTTTTGATTTTTGTACATATTGTATATGTCTTTAGGCATTATTTTAGTAAAGTGGATTGCATTTAATCATGTTCTTTTCAGACATATCAATGGAATAGAAGAATTTATGAATAGCAAGAGATAAAATCTAAAGTGATTGGTTTCAAGGAGATCAATTCATGATGATAAAGACTCAATTTTAATTCCAAATTTTTCTCATTGCACCCATAGAACAAATAGTAGATGTAAAGGCTCTATATATTATGAATGAATGTGCTCCATTATGAATTGAGTGGTTTGTAAACCTAGGCATTGTAAAGACCTGTGATCTCTTTGTTCAAAGTAAAAGAAATCACTCGGCAACATAAAATATGGTCGAGCTTTGTTAAAGTCTTCAGAAGAAAGCTAACAACTTTAAAAAAAAATGAAACTTTTATGTTATAAACACAAACCAAATGTGGACAGATAACAAGATCTTTGATTTTGATATGACATACTTTTTTGGTGCTTTTTTTCACATTTTTGTGTGTAAAAGCAGAAATGACATTTTGAGTGAATTTTCATGATTTTGTTGATTTTGCAAATTGGACAGTTGCCAAATTTTTGAGTAATTTTCATAACAATGATAGGAGTTTTACAATTCCAAATTTCTGGAGTTCTAAATTAGACTATAAAATACATGTACCTGGTACTTATTTTGTGCATGTATGCTTTAAATAGATATTTTTCTTTATGTCTCATGATGCAACAGAGACTAGGTAAATGTATATATAGTATCAAAACCTATATATGAATTTAACAAAGCCTACAGTAACACAACCACAGATACTATAAATATAACATGAAGATTAAAGTGATTTTTTTACTTAGCTTTAATTTTCATAAAAGGAATCACCAATAACGTATCATTACACAGTTATGTATCAAATCACCAACAATTTTATGATCATATTAATTCTGGGACTGATATTATAAGTAAAACAGTTCACACCAAACCAAAAGTAATCTGGTAAATATATATCATTCTCAATAAAAAAATACTAATGTAATCCATGCTTATTGTAAATATATTGAGAGGGCAGGATATACATGGTCCCTAGCAACGTTATAGTGAAACATGGCAGTCAGAACAATATCACAAGGCTCATTGACTGCATTTCAAATGATTTGACAAAATAAATGTGTACGAGATTTTATATGACTGTTAAAGAATAGTTATTTGGAAGAGGAAGTTTGAAAGGACCAGGATTGTTTAAAATAAACACAGCTACATAGTATACTAGTTACCTGAAGGTATTTATTGTGAGCTTATGTGTAGTCTCATCTTTCTTCATCTCTGAAATTACATATCATTTGAGAATGCATAAACCTGTTGTCCTACACAAATGAAACTAAACCTGAGTATTTTCAGTCTGAGATTAAAAGAACTTCACCACAGACATCAAAGCTGCACTCAGAGAATTGTCTGGTTTTGTTCCAAAAGTATTACTTACACATGATTCTGTTCATTATACTTCTAAGTCACTCAAAGCTAACTGACAACTAACAAGAACTGATATTTCCATCTTACATTGTCTTGTAATTGAAAATGGAGTTCACTCAACATGTATTCATGTTATTTTGTCATGTATGGAAATATGGAATAAAATTTCAGTTGAAATAAAAAACATTTATGCAAACCATGTGCAACTGTAAAAATGTAGTACATTGTTCAGTTGGATCACATTGTGGTTGATACCGTAAAATTTCTTTTATTCTATTTTCTTTTGTTCATAATGAGTAATATATACATTTAATAAGAATTCAAAATAAATGAAAAAAAAAGAGAAAAAAAATTGATTTAAAAAGCCAACCCTGATAGAAACAAAAATGATCTGTGACTTTGTGAGCACTTAAAGTAATAACAAGGTATAATATGATAAATATATGTAGGAAATATGAAAACATGAGTTATCTGTTAACTTGTTCAATATAGTTCAAATATAGATATACAGTACTACTGATCAAATCAAGACTAGTAAGATAGACTATTCTACAAAAACACTTATTTCTTAACAGTTTTTTTTTTTTAAATAATCCTATAAATAAATATACAAATTTCTGACCAAAGAGCTGATCAAGGTAACACAAAGACTGCACGCAGTCTGAATGACAAGCAAACATATTTGTAAAATCTATGCAGATCTTTTTTTCTCTCTTTCAATACGTGTTCTTTAGCTCAAGTCTCATGTCATGTTTTTCCTTGATGTTTTAGTTTTAATTATTTTAAACAAATAATTGTTTTAACTTGTATCACCAGACAATTTAAAAAATAGTATGCCAAAAGTTGGCCATTATCCCTGGATACTTATCCTCTAAAACATCTTACATGTCGACAAAACTTGGCATGAAGCACAATTCTAAACTTCATACACTGTCATGTTTTTAACAAGTGGTTACAACAGCAATAAACATTAATTACTAAAGTTCAATTATTGATTGACAGAGTAAAGAAACACTGTCCTTCTGTCACTAGGTACATCCTAGTCTTTGATGATTTAGAAAACTCCTAGTACAAAATAATAGCTAATCAATGAAACTGAGAAACAAAGTTTTATAAAACTTGAAGGCCTTTTTCTGGATCAAAACGGTATTGGAAAGTCTTGGTTCTCCAGTACATGCCATCACCCTCTGGTTGATAGATGGATGGGAGCAGAATCTCTCTTACAATTCTCCTGTAATGAATACAATATTGTTCCCTGAGATTAACATAGTCTTTATCTGAAGAGAATATAACTTAATCTAGATATAAAGAGTGAGATGCTTGTACAGAATTTCAATTTTACATTGTATATTCAGGATTTACCTGTACATTTCATATACTCTGTAGATGTAGTTCTAGCTCATATAAGGTATTAATGAGTTTTATCTGTTTAAAAATGAACCTTCACATTTAATGTAGGTACCATACTCTTATTATGCAAATCAAGTCCCTAGGTAAGTCATTCTTATTAATTCTCTAAGATAGCCTTAATACTAGGTCTGCTAGTACCACTGACATAATACACAAGGTTTTCATAGGTCTGACAGTATCACTAGCAGGATACAGGTTAAAATTGGTCAAATAGTCCCTCTGACAGGATACAGGTTTTAACAGGTCCAATAGTACTACTGACAGGATACAGGTTTTAACAGGTTCAATAGTATTAATGATGGGTTATAGGTTTTAACAGGTCCAATAGTACTACTGACAGGATACAGGTTTTAACAGGTTCAAAAGTACTACTTGCAGGATACAGGTTTTAATGGGTCCATAAGTACTACTGACAGGATACAGGTTTTAACAGATCCAATAGTATTACTGACTGGATACAGGTTTTAACAGGTCCAATAGTACTACTGACAAAATACAGGTTTTAACAGGTTCAATAGTACTACTGACCGGATGCAGGTTAAAATTGGTCAAATAGTACCACTCTCAGGATACTCTAGGTTTTCATAGGTCTGCAAGTACCAATGAGATGTACAGGTTTATATGGCATGATAACCACCATGGACAGGATATATGCTTTAATAGGGCTGATAGTATCAATGACTGGATTGGACTGGATACAGGTTTTGGTTGGACCAATTGGTTTTCAAAGAGTTGGAATTTGTAGCATCATTTATGAAGACTACTCACCATACAGTTATATCATGTAATCCCAGATACAACTTCCAGTTGGTTATAAACCCTAGATCATACTGATTCTTGAATTCCTGAAATTGAAAATTACAAAATTCAACACACATTTAAAAAGAAGACAGTATATCATCATTTAGTAGATACACAGATTTTGAGACAATTATTTTGCAAAAAAAAAAGTAGTCATTTCAAGGGAATTCCAGCAGTACAGTCAACAGAATTAACAACAAAGTACAAAACAGTTCAGCTTTTTTCTCACATAAATGTACATATAGAGAGTACTGTATTTTCTTTAAGAAAGTTTGGCTTTATCCATGACTGCCTGTATTTTGAATGGAAAATTACCATTTTTTTCTCTCTTAACTTCTTCTTCTGAGTTAGATTGATTTGGTATTCTATAGTTGTCTCCCCATAGCTGATGAGTTTGGCAGTGGCCACTATGAGGAAAGTAAGAGCTATTGCCAATCCAGAGCTTAGGATATAGAGGAAGATGACTAGCTTCTGTTCCATCGTCTCTGATATCCCAAGGCGGTCATAATTACTGGACTGTTGTAACAATGCTGTCTATAACACACATACAATAGATATTACACTCACAAAGATACAGGATTTAATTTCATATCTGGTCCTCTACTATTGTTTTAAGGATGCTTGACTGTTAAAAATATTAAATTTAGAGGTGATAGCCTATTACCAGTTAGCCCTAGAAAACTAACTATCATATATGTATTACAGCATGTTGCATTGCATTTCTGTTTCATTTCAACGATACTGCCAAAAATCCACAGGTTTGTGTACAACAATTAAGTTACCAATAAGCTTTAAACATTACTAATTCCATGGCCATTTAAGGCACAATAGATGCTGGGAGCAATCATAAATACATTCTATAACTTAATCCCACCAGCCAAGTGTCAGACTCCTACATATTTATCTGACTGACAAACTTACCTTGCCTGAGGGTCCTTGGAAAGAGGCGTACAGAAGATTGAGAGGAAACATGGCCCCAGGGAAAGGATACCCCTATAATTAATTTACATGTAAAACTAAGATTTTGAATCAGACAAGCAGACAAAATGGATAAATAATCACTAAGTATGTAGGCTATAGAGAGCTGAACATACTACAGTATCTGTTACATTAAATGAACACTTGCCTTTAAGGATTCTCCATAAAAGTAATCCACAAACAGATCATTGGTTGAGATGGTCACCAGCAAAGCACCACCGTATGTGAAACAGCAAAACAGAAAGAAATATCGCTGATTGTAAAACCCTACACAAGTATTTAACCATGCTGTATTTGATAAGGAAACAAGAAAGTCAGAATTGATGCTTTTTCAAAGAAGGCTGGTCACAGAACAAGACTGAAACAGGGACAGAATGATTACTGATACGATTGTAACAAGATTGGTGAGAATACATTGTCTCACTGAGTAAAAGTATCGGCCATCAGTACACCTATCAGACATACATTGAAACAAACATTGATTTAGGTATAAAAACAATAACTGGAAAAGGATACGACAATGATGGTCCATTTTCAGAACACACTTTCCACATGTCTTGCAGTGATGTGTTCGAGCTGGTTTCTTAGAGAAACATTTACGACATAGGGATACTGGGTTCACAACATCCTGAAAATAAATACCAAAGTAATATGCTTAACTAGATACAGATTTTCTTTCCTGTATTCAATGAACGTTAGAGGAAATGAAAAGATTTATCAGTGACCACAGGCATGATATTCTTATAGCTGGTTATTTATGCAAGATTGACATTTTTGCTATTTCACTGTCCAGTAATGAGATCACAAAAACTTCATTCATGAAATAATGAGACACAACCGTATGAGATATCCTGTTACATCTAGATTACAGAAATTTAATTCATTAAAAATATAATTTGTTTTATGGAAAAACAGAAAATTTTGACCACAGCCATGATCTAGTTGTCCCCCTAGACTAAATGTTATTATACAGACCTGTGGAGGATATCCTGGTCCAGTGACCACAGCCATGATGTAGTTGTAAGTAGTGTTAGCCAGCAGCCATGATCCCAACAAGAAAATTATTACAGCAGATGAAAGACTGGAGTTGTACAGATGAGGAAGTACGTACACAACGTATATCAGGTTCACAACGGCCATCAAGCCCACCACTAATACCATGCATGCCTATAGAGATTTCATTATCAACATGTATCACATTCACACCCATGTCAATGCAGAATATTGTAAAAATTGGGGGAGAGGTTCGGGACTAAATACAACCACATAAATCACGAAAATTTGAACCACAGTAAAATAATAACTTTTACAGCATAATGTTTTACATTTCTTCCACTTTCAATTTATTATCATGTTAAGAGTTTCATCTGCTTATGTGTTAATTTACATTATCCAGCTGATAATGACACTACCAAAATTGTATTTGAGATCATAATGAATAGCTAGAAAACTATATGTTTTAGTAAAGATAAATTTCTTTCCTGTTGTATCAACACTAAACTGTAAGAAATGTTGTTATGTATGTTTTCAAACTGTTATGGTTGTTTCAACCACTCTTGTAACATCATGACCTGATCACTAAGTCAGAAATTAAGATGCTAAGTTTTGTGACAGGACTGGAAAATTGAAACATGTTGTAATACCGTTGATTCCAAAAGGGACCTTACCTATGGAATACTCATCACAAACCCTGACATTTGACTTTTATTGCTAACCTTAGACTTAATTCTCAAAATGGACATAGTTCAGATCATTTATTCATAATACCTGTAAGAAGAATTTATATTGAATGAAATTTGAAGTTAATAAGCTTACTTACTCTTCCAAATTGTTGATTGATAAAATCATTAATACCATTTAAAGGTTTTGTGATGATCTCCATGAGGGAGAGAGATGAGGTAACATGATTGTAACAGAGTGTCAATCTGAGCAGCTGGAAAAACTTCAAAATATTGCCCCATCTTCTTTTCAAGCGCCATGGAAACTTGTGTAATTTCCACTTGACTAAAGCCATTGTCAGCTAAAGCTCATCATCTGGTTTGTCACCAATGGTTTTTCAGTTCTGAGTCTTAAAAGTCGACAATGTGGGTCATATGTCTACTGCATAGCCCTTCTTATGCTGACATCTCCATTTTTAGGTAAAATGACTGACCTGCAAAACATGAACAACATTTATATTCAATAGCAAGACTTTAATCAGAACTCGAAATGTTTGAAAGAAAATATGAGTGCCGAAGACAATTATTCACAATTCTATAGAAGATAGGTTTATGCTTTCATTGCACAAAGCAAGCCATTGCTACGATGAATACTCTACAATGCTCGGTCTATTTGACAGTTGAATTATGGAGTTGCGAGAGTATATACACGTACAATAGCGACTGGTTTGCAAGTACCAACACATCTCCGAATCCTACATCTCCATTCACTGCCAAATTAGTGAAGTCAGAGAAGGAGTTAGATTGAGGACATGACCGTGAAAATTATTACTTGGAAGCAGTAGCATAAATGTCTTCTTTTATGTGACAATATTATAACTTTGCATTCAGCATTTCCGGTATATGAAAAATTGATAGCAGTCACTGCTCTCTTCGATACGTAGCGAGTTTGTTTCACTAAAAAAATGTGTTTTCAATTTACACAGCCTTCATATTAACTTCCTTGAAGAGTGATGTAACTTCGAGGTAGTATAAAATCTTTGTTATTAAAACATCTTATTGCAATCATTTACCTACACGTACTTTATAAAATATGTATGCTCACTATTCAGCCTACTTTCGTTTCTCAATCTTGAAAACATTTTCTTGATCACGATGAATGGCAACTCTAACTCTCAGTGTGAAAAGGACGGAAAATCCGGACTACATTTTTTCGTTACAGGCCAGATTGTTAAAAAACGCACATGATAATCAATATTACCAACGATGTCATTTGAATATTAAATAGATAAATAAATGATATTTTCATTTCCCGATGACATGCACCAAAACCATAATGTCAATTACACACTGTAATTTGCAGCAGTTTCAAGCCTAGACTGCCAGAGCAGATTATATACCCGGCTATTCACAGGTAACTTGTACACCGCCACTTAGCGAACAGCTCCAATTCATTTCATTCAACCGCATGAAACAAAACATATGCATTGTTTTAAAAAGAACATGAGTTCCGACCTTGCAAACTTATCTATCTTTTTATTCGCATATGAAACCCAGCTGACTAATTAAGGGCTGACTGGCTGATACAAATCCAGGAATGATGACTCTTTATAGTGCTAACACACTGAAATGCCTTGAAATGTACGAGATAACACGACATACAGGCTGGTCACATCAAAATAACAACAGTCTATCCAGGTTAATCCAAGAGTACTTTATCAGAAATAAAGAAATAAAGACCTAAAATATGGATCCGGCTCTTTCCATCTAGCTGTTGCCTCTCTTAGACCATCATAAAGGAGAGGGTAATCGTGAGTATTTTGTGCTCTACTATAAAAAAGACCATTATATCAACTTGCGGAAATCCAAGTTCCGAATTATTCCGACATTGCATCGACTTTTTTTTTTATATCGATCTAGTTTCAATGAACACAAACTATGACGTCATCATAACAATCCCAGTGTCACGTGGTCAGTGAATAAAAACAATTGTTCTATAGTTACGTCAAAATCGAGTGTTCTATACAACACGAACAAGGAATCATTGCTTCCAAGCTTCCGTGGAGATCTTTGTAAGTAATCACCCAGTGACCAGTCTATCAGATTTCAGTTACAGTTGCAAAACTCTTATATATAGTTCTCGGGTCTATAATATACAACTGAATTTAAGTTTCCTTATCAAAATACAACAGTTGTACGAACTTGATACATATATTTAAAATACACGGGTTTCTTTTCATTCGCGAATCACGAGAGTATAAGTTCATTATTTTGTTTTATTCAATTAACACAACTCTTCCTCCTATCAAATGTTCCATAGTGTAGTCTTGAGCATGCACTCGTTTACAGTACAGAACCTGCGGTATGTATACTACAACTTGTCGTAAGTAGTGTCAGCTCTTATTGTTAAATTAAAACCTTTCTTGTAATCTTTTATCAGTTGTATTCTGGTTTGTCCACTTTTTAAAAATAAGATGGACAGAGAAATATTGTTAGAAAGACTATTATAGTCTATTTCAGATTAATTTACATGTATTTAGCTGTGTTTTTAGCATATGTCTATTTCAGATGAATTTACCTGTGTTTTTAGCATATATCTATTTCAGATGAATTTACCTGTGTTTTTAGCATATGTCTATTTCAGACGAATTTACCTGTATTCACCTGTGTTTTTAGCATATGTCTATTTCAGATGAATTTAACTGTGTTTTTAGCATATGTCTATTTCAGACGAATTTACCTGTATTCACCTGTGTTTTTAGCATATGTCTATTTCAGATGAATTTACCTGTGTTTTTAGCATATGTCTATTTCAGATGAATTTACCTGTATTCACCTGTGTTCTTAGCATATGTCTATTTCAGATGAATTTACCTGTATTTACCTGTGTTTTTAGCATATGTCTATTTCACATGAATTTACCTGTAATTACCTGTGTTTTTAGCATATGTCTATTTCAGATGAATTGACCTGTGTTTTTAGTATATGTCGGCAGTTAATATGATATCAGATGAACATATAGATGATGGTAGAACTAATACGTTTTACGACTTTTATTGTTCCTCTATGTTAACACAGTAAAAATTAATGAAGGAAAAAGAGAAAAAAATATATGATATGTAATTTGTAGGTGTTGAAAATTAATTCAAATTTTACATTTTCTCTTATACAAGATAGTTAAATAATGGTGTTGAAATAATTAAAAATCATATGTAACTTAATTTTATGAAAACAAGACATTCTTCTTTTATTCAGTTTTATTAAGTCTAAATTACCCAGTAATGGTATATTTGTGTAAAAAATAATCTGACCTATTAATCATTATAAAACTGTTCATTTCCTCCTCAAACGCCCCTACATTACTGTATTTTAAACCACTGTTTCCTTGTTTTGAAGATTCGATGCCAGGCCTTGCGGGTTATGCACAAGTAGGTCCCCGGTCGCGGGGAGTGTTTGACCCGGCCCTCGGGCGTTTTGTGGACTCTGTTACCAAGGTACCAACCCTCGAGATCGACTACGGTGAGGAACAAAACCACAAGTAACAGTATAAAAGATTGTGATAAAGAAACAAGTACTCAAATCGCCACTGTGGTGTACGCGGTCCGGAAGGAACATTCAAGATGGCGACCTGTAAAGAACCAATAGATTATGTTCAATGTACTGAATTTCTATGCATTTATCTCGTGCTTTTTGGGACCATTTTTACCACACATAAAATTGTTTGTATAGGAAAGTATTCAAACTAAAAAAAGTTAAGTGTTATTAATTTGAAACCGAGCTTCCACGGAAATCCCACCCTGGAAGTGGAAATGTTGATACAATTATGTATTAAATCATATCCTAGTCCGGACCGGTCAACTTACTTTACTTCTACAAGCAAAACCCTCCCTTAACCGACCAAATATCCACGTCCCATGCACGGTCGGTTTGGAGAAGTTCCATTGTACCTGTAAGGGACGATATGAAACGGTGACACCCTTATATTCCGAAGGGCTAAAAGTCCGAAGGCCCAATTGTCCGAAGGCCCATTAGTCCGAAGGCCCGATAGTCCGAAAATGGAATAATGGTTACGTTTTTTTGTTTCTTATTTAACTGTAAATGAAATAATGACGAAATTTAGAGAGAAAAATAGTTAAGTAATAATAACAGAAATCTTCCCTTACATTAATTACAGGTTTACAGGCCCTATTCTTTTATCTTTTACTATAACAGTTAAGTGAAAGGCGACTTATATTTGTAAGCGACGGGAACATTAACAGAAATGGCGCGAAAAAAATGTAGAAGAAAGCATGCACGGTAAACAGTACGGGGAATCCGACTTACATGAGCGGCGAAGATGGCGCGAAAAAAAACCTGAGAAAATTCGGACTATTGGACCTTCGGACTATCGGGCCTTCGGACTAATGAGCCTTTGGAATATAAGGCGGTCACCTATGAGACATTAGGCTACGTACTTAGACCTGTATATGTTGAAAGAGGTCATATTTCTTTCAACTATCTAAGCCAATAATTATCTTATTATTTGTGCTAAGTTGAAATAATGTGTCAACAGAGTTGACATACATGTACAAAGTTGCCAATATATTGGAACATGAATTTCGAAACGCGTTTACTCCTTTCTCTTATAGGTAACGTTGTTCAACATTTCTGACATTAGGTATCAAACTGCAGAATATTGCACAGTAATTCATAGGGGATGTAAGGATATGAGCGAAAGTGTCAGTACTGCGTATAGCGTTACCGCCATCTTGAAATGTCCCCTCCAGACCACACACATTGTACTTGAAGTGATCATAACACAGACAAGAACTGCCTATTTTTGACAAATAAGTTAGGTTTTAACCATGCTGCAGAAATTCTTCTGTCATCTTTTTAGTGTAATTCTTGTATTTGATGTATACATAGAGGCATATCTAGAAAGGTTACGAATGATACATCAACCCTTCGAGACAGATCAAGACACACGGGAAACCTCCTATTCCATTAATGAAAACCAAGGTAAGTTTTATTTGTTGTCTGTATCCTTCAGCATCCTTAAACACCTTATTCTGTACGGTTATTTTTGAACTCGTTTTCATGTTCTTCACAAAGTCCGAAAGCCGCATTTGAGGCAAGACACGTCCACCGTCCTCCCTTTGGTGTTTTTCTAATATGGTATCACAAAGTCGTCTGTGTTGGTGTATAATCATTTGCATACATAGTGCCTTTTTCACGTAAAATTCAATGTAACTAATAAAACCGACCTATTGAGGGGTATTCATGTTTAAAATAAACTACGTCGAAAAAGCTGAAATATGGCGATATTTTGAAGCTAGTGGGTTCTGGTGTGGCGTATCTGTTTTACATACGTTCAATATACGTTACCTATCACGTGATACACAATGGTATTATGTATTCATAATTAAATAAAACAAATTAAACTGTGTTGAAGTTGAACTAGTAGTCAAGTGTGATTTCAATACAAGCCTGGGTTGTCACGTGAACAAAGCTCAATTTCTATTTGCTTGTATGACTATGGACGAGGTATGCCCGTTACGGCATACTGAGTTTTTTTTTTTTGCGTTTGTTGTTGTTTAACACAACCTTGGGATCCTTTTGGACGGATGTTGACCGTGTCCTTATCTTTTGGTATGTTCATGAGTGAATTTCCACCTTTTTTTCTGTGCATGAGGTTAAACTATATGAGATGAGCAATTCCAACAGGGTCCCTCTTTCAATACGTCTATCTAACTTTTATTAACTGCATTCTGTCGATATGCTGTATGACTTCGAGCTTGAGATTTGATGTAATCCCAAGAAACTGGCGATCATGACAGGTATTTGCTTTGGACTAAGTAGATTTCTCGGACAGTGGAAGAAAGTCAGTAAAGATCCAGTTTCGAGCAAAATGTTATAACGGACTTAAAACACTCGTTTGGTTTAAACATATTTTTATTGCAAATAAATATTTACAAAATAAGTGGACATCACTTATCGCAGTAAATTTCTTCAAAATGCATTAAAACAAGCAATAAATCGATGTCAATTTACACAATTTATAGAAAATGATACCTTAGGTGGACCGGAAGTAATTATAATTACAACTTTATGAATTCTGCTGTATTTTATCATTACATACTGTAGGTAATATATATAACTATTTATATAAATA